CAATACAATGCTGTGCCAGAATGAATTAACAAGTACTGCAGCAGTTTGTGAAACATAAGAACATACGAAATGCTCGGCGGAAAAAAAGACCAAGAGCCATCTTGTTCACCTTCCATCTTCCTGGCGGTCACATGTACCATCAAATAATGACTGTAAACAAATTTTGAGCAGAGCTTCGTATTGTCCAGAATGTCACTGCATTCAAAACTTTCCAATAAGCCAAACACACTAAACAAGCTCCATCTGTGAACAAACTAACTGAGCTGCTCCTCACAATCTGTCTCAATCCTTCTGTGACTATTTCAGAACGTACGCTCCGAGTCTTTGCTTTGATGCATTTCAAAAAGAATTTAAAGTTTAAAACAAAAAACATTGATTAACTTTGAGTGCTCTGTGTACGGATAAGATCCCCCACATTTTTCGAATTGCAGCAATAGCTTTTTGAAAATGCAATTTTAATCATAAGAAAAAAATGATGTTTCTTTGTTGAGTTATTATACTGTTTAATCTTAATTTACTGAAGTGAAAGCAGTTTTAAAAGCCTGCAGTATCTTATAAAAGTACTTAACACGGAACAAACTCAAGTTCAAAGATATTGCTAGGCAGACATTTTGCTTGACACAGCCAAGAATAAAAATAATAATAATCCTTGCATTTGATATAGCACCTTTCACATCAGGAGGAAGTATCAAAGCACTTTACAGGATTTTCCGTAAAGTGCAGTGACTGTGAATTTTCATTTGAACCTATGTAGTTTCAATTGTAAACATTATTATATATATTTGATAATATTTGAACATTCTTGAATATGGAATATCCTACTTATAATTGCTAGCTTAAACTAATGAATCTGCAATGTAGCCTTGTCAATTCATGTAACACCACGCCATACACATTGCTTTTTAATTAACAATCGCTTCAGTACATTCCTACAAAAGCTTTCATTTTCTCATCAAAAAATATCCTTTTAATTAGTGTTACATTGAAACTAACTTTACTGCATGTCACCTAATGTATCTTCCTTCTATTAGAAAGGAAATCCATCAGTTCCAAGAATGCTTCTTAGATCAAACATAATCCCTTGGTAAATTCAGATTCATAATGTTAATAAACCTAAGAGCTATTGTTTCCTGCACAACATCATACTTCCACAGCAACTCAATATAGTTTTCTCTTGCTGAATGAGGCAGAACACTGTTAGCAACTACAATGGTAATAGGATATAAATTAACACAATATAAAAACCTGTGAATATTTTGGTCAGGGAAATGAGCCCACATCTATTTAGCTATTTGGACTCTTACAAAAACACTGACATTTAACAGCAAAAGAAGGCAGTCGTAACTTTCAAAATGTGAACAGTTTAAGATTGATCATTATAAGTAAACCCAGAAACACTGGATGTTCATGTGTAGACTAAGCGTCACCTGAAGGAGAAAAAGAAGTCAACATTTCTGATAGGACTCATCGTCAGAACACAATCTCTATATAGAGAAATTGCCAGAGTTCCTGCCCTCTGATCACTGCCTATTATTATTATTATTATGATGATGATGAGCCCACATCAATCTGCTGACCCGTGCTGGAAGGTACCCATGTGTATGTTAGATGAGCGCAGGATCAGTTTCAGCTGTGATACTGGGTTCCAAAGTGAGAAAGATAGCAGAGGAAGAAAGAAGAGTTAAAGAGAGGAATTAGTGTGGGAGAGAGAAAATGTTCTGTCTTCCAAGACTGCTTAGACTGACTGAAATACTATTTACTTTTGAAAGCCATTTAAAAGGAAAGCATAACTAATATCTAGCCTTCAGTGAACACTGAACTGACATTTGTTCTTAAGACAATTCAAGGTCAACATCTGGATGATTTTATTATTACAATTATGCAAGTAACTCTGTGAGTCAAAGGATCAGGATATTTATTGTAATAATTTACACAAAAATAAAGTGAAATGTTGTCTGTTTAATCCACAGCTACAGGTATATTTACTTAAATGTCAGCATGAATATGATTGCACCATAAGCAGGCTAAAATTAAATAGGTATTAGCTTCGGACTCTTTCAACAGAAATATGTTTTAGTTTTTAATAATCAGCAGATATTTTTAGAAAATAAAGCCTTGTTGTTGTGATAATAGAAACCTTGCCAACAGCTCAGCCAAAATTGTCCAGATGGGTTTCCAGAAAGTTTTGACCTTGAGTTCTTGTTTATCGGAATTTTAAAGGTTATGTAAAATAATTTGCAAAATGCACAGCAACGTTGAAAGTTCTAGGTCAAGACTATTTCAGTATCAAAAGCGTGGTCAAGGCTGACGAGAAAAAAGGGCCTTTAGCGATTGGAATGCTAACACAATACTGCAGCAAATCCAGATGAACATCACGTCATTTGCCTCCACAGTAAAATGGATGACAATAATAATAATAATCCTTGCATTTGATATAGCGCCTTATCACGTCTCAGAGACATCTCAAAGCGCTTCACAGAATATACTGTGAAGTGTTTCAGCCACAAAATATACAGTCAATTCACTTTGCAGTATATTCTGTGAAGCGCTTGAGACGTCTCGAAGACGTGATAAGGCGCTATATCAAATGCAAGGATTATTATTATTATTATTAATTGGCTGTATATTCAGAACGTCCGTTTATTGTTTCCCTTTGAGTTTCGGACACACAGCCAAAAATATTCAGATTTGTTTACAAATTATATTTTGGCACCAGATGTTACACAATGCATTCGGAGAACCGGATTAAAACTGAGAGACTAAATTACTCTTATATGTCCAGGTAGTGTAAGAAGTTAAAGCCACAGTGTGTGTACAAGACCTTACAGTAACTTAAAATAATTCAAACCATCTCTGATACTTCTCCTTTGGCAAGCTTTGTGTGTTACAGATAAGAAAATATGTTTTCATCTATCTGATTTCCATGCAGCAGCTCAGATGATTAAGTAATCTGTTGCAGGCTTCATGTATCAGAATAAAAAACAGATTCAACAACAGATGGGGTTAGGATGAAAGGGGTAGAGGCTAGTGGTCTAGAATATGAAGGCTTGGCCACCTACTGTGGCACAGAGGGTGGGGGAATGTGCTACAAGTCTGAGTTTGTCAAGCAGAAGAGTAGAGGGTCTCCATTCAACTAAAATTCTGCTTTCATTTTTAATTGACTTTTCACAAGTTACATTTAAACAGTGCCTTTCACATCGGGAGGTCACTATGAGACATTTCAAGTGAGCTACATCAAATGGAAGGATTATTTATATATATATATATGTATTTATATTGATTACACAACATATATCCCACAGTTCCCGTCATGGTGGTGGGGAGTGGGGTGCAATCTTAACTCTAATTTTAATGATTTATGAAAATAGCCCTTATATCCTTCTCAACAAAAACAGAAGTCGCTGGGAACACTCAGCAGATCAGGCAGCATCTATGGAGAAAGAAAAGTGAGTCAACATTTCCCCCCTTAAATTCCTCTGTTCATCCTACACTGCCTCCCCTTCACCCCCCCTCCCCACTCCACCCAACCCCCCCCATTTATCTGTAGGCAAAAGCATATTGTTGAACGGTTACACTTCCAATAGAACATAATTTTACTGATTGTGGCCCAGCTTTATGTCCTTCTATCTGGAGGAGAACGTCACTGTTTCACAGTCTGGTCCGGTGTTATAAGAGAAGCAGGCCTGAAGGCACAGAGTGTAGAGCAAACACACTATCCACTGAGCTGATAATATTCATTAGATTAATGGGAAGCCACTAAAGTGGAACTGTCCGTAACATTTCACTTCAAAGATCAGCTTGTATCAAAAGGGACCCCAGGCCTCAGAGAAAGCTTGAGAAGTCGTCAGGATCAAGGGTTTGGGGACGGACGTGTGCTTAGTTGACCTTCAATGGCTGTGGGGCTGCAGATGTGCAGCTGTTCACAGAGATGAACGCTGTAATTGGGATGTTAATATTATGGAAGTTATACATTCACTTCTATTTTGCGTCATCTGAAGCTCCTGCAATGGCGTTATGGAGTGGGGCTGGCCTCAGGACAAGGAAAGCTGGAACCTTAAGTCCTCACTTGTGTGAACTTGGTCGTTGTGGCAAATAAGGGCAGTTTGCCATTTTAAGCCATACCATTCTATGATGATATTGATAATAATCCTCGCATTTGAAATAGCACCTTAAAAACGTACTAACAACGGTTCAGACTTTCTTAATCTATCAGTAAGCAACGTCCTCCATGGATCTCTCCAGTCTCAAAGATTAGAGATCTTATCAGTTTGAGTGCCTGCACTCAGCTCACTTCCTGCCAGGCTGATCAGGGGTAACAGCTGCTGCCCTCCTGCTTTCAAAGACTTTGCAGCACTTCACATAGTGAGAGTCACTGAGTTTTTCAGTGACATTCGAGGCTTGATAAATTTCAGGATCAGCTGCAATCCGCCACAAAACCAAACCAGCACAAATCGTGGCCGCGGAATTGGGCCTAAAGTAAAGTGGATGTCTCAGGGTTTGGTTTTGTGCCAGTCTCAAACCAAATGCTTATAATAATAATAATCCTTGCATTTCATATAGCGCCTTATCACGTCTCAAAGCACTTCACAGAATATACTGTAAAGTGAATTGGCTGTCACAATAGCCTTCTGCTCATTTTTTTTTGCCAAATTCAATCGTTAGTAGTCCTGCCAAATAGAAAAGACTCAAAGAATGATTTCTAAGTACCATTAAACTGCATGTGGGCAATCCCCTCAGGTTCCTCCCATCTGGATGTTCAGTATAATCGACACAAGTCCAGGAACTTTGAAGCGATGCTTGGCAAAAGCTGCTTTTTAAACTCAAAGGTCTCAAAAGAAATCTCAGAAATGGTCCTGTGGAAAACCTTGAGGGTGTATCTAGAGAAAATGAAATATATTCTTTGGTCCACCCAATCATGTAAACTGCATTATGCATGGGTTATATCTTGGCTTGAAATATCCATGATGCAGTAAGGATAATAAGAACATAAAAGTTATTGTGAAATTCAGTTTATTTATGAACACGTCACTTTTTAAGTAGACATTGCTTCCAACTCCACAGGGGGACGCAGCAGAATGCGGTATCGCAATTTTCCCACGAAGGCTCCAGGCCTTTCTGCTCATCTCACTTGGAAAATGGAAAGCATTGTACGCAGGATTGTGTAATGATCCCGATGTAGTTCCACCTCTCCTCTCATTGCCTCTCCTCAACGCGTGGTTACGTGATAGCTGGCCCCGTTGCACTAACTTGCCTGTGCTTTGTTACAGGAGCTATTAGTCGTCCACCTTCTGCTTTGTGATCCGCACCCACTGCTTCTCCAACACTAGAAAATCCCTGTTCCCTTCAAACAAAAACAGTTCTTTTAGTGCCAGTAGTTCAACGAAAATTTGGCAACACAAATTAGAGAAAAAGTTTGACCCTCCTCCCCCCGCCCCTCACTTATTCTGTTGCAAAAGCATTAAGTGTATTGAGAAAGGTACAATTTCAATGATAAAGAAACAAAAGGCATCTGACTGAACCGTCCTAATGTTGTTTGCTTGAAGTGCCCGCATTTGCTCAGCAATTGTCTTGCAGTGACAGACGAGATAACTAACCTGGCAGCATGAACCCGGCTAAAGCCATGTCTCCCCACTCCAAGGCGGAGGAAGGGAATTTGAAAGCACAGTTGAAAAGATAGGCATTAAGACAGGCTTTAAAGGCAGGGAGGGAGAGAGCGAGCAGGAGAACCACAGGTGAGCTTAAGCCCTAATCAGGCAGAACTACAGGCTTCCCATGAAATGGAATTGCTCATCCAGATACTGATCTATAAATTTACACGTGACAAAGTCCAAGGAGGGCTCTGGTCTAACAAACACGTCGCTACCGACCGTTTAGAGGACCTCCCTAACCCTCTGTTTCCCAAATTGAACTGAACACCTGGAACGATAGCAGATAAACTTCGCTACTCACTTTAACAGCTGCTCCAGCTCACGCTTGATTTTGTTTACCACGGGTGGTCCCTGGTAGGTGAGGGCAGTGTAGAACTGGATTAATGTGGCTCCCGCTCGGATCTTTTCGAGAGCATCCGCTCCGCTGCCAATCCCACCCACCCCAACAATAGGAATCCTTCCTGGAGAAGGAAACACAACAGCTTCTTACTCCACTCCACTCCCAGGCAGAAGATGAGGTGTCGCAAATCACAAATCTATGTTCAATCAATGCAACTGAACAGGAGGTTTAAAAAAAATCACATAAAACATTCAACTTCACACAGTTACAGGAAAGAGCGCATTCTCTCAAATGGCTGTAACTTGCAATATGAATTCAGCAAAAAGCTATCCATATTGGTTACATTTTCTAACCCACAGAGATCAATCTGTTTCCGTGGTTGTAAATGGCTCCTCCAATATTCCAAGCCTGCACACTTCAAGTTTATCTATTCTTGTATTAATAATAATAATAAAAACAATGATTGTATTTGATACAGCGCCCTATTGTGTTGTCGAGACGTCTCAAAACGCTTCACAGGATATACTGTAAAATGGTGTGACTGTGTACTTGGTAAAGGTATTAAAACGTTAGTTTTAAAAGCTGTTTCAATTTACTGACACAGCAGTTATACCCCACATCCACAATCTTGTTCTCTCCTGTCCCAACATCTCTCCTAATCATTTGCAACTTTGTGCGTGTCTGCAGGAAATACCTTTGGTGAGGAGGTACATCTCTCGCACAGCCTGGGTAGACATCTCCCTCAGGGGAGCTCCGCTCAGCCCACCCGGCTCAGTCCGCAGGGGGTCCTGGAGCGACTCTGGCCGTCTGATTGTAGTGTTTGTTACGATAAGTCCATCTACTCCCAGCTGCAAACAGCAAAAGAGGACATCAACTGGAAGTCAGATCCCACCTGAAGACCTTCCTACAGTCACTTCCTCCTGCTTTCTGGCACGACATCAAGCTCTGCCACTGTTAAGTGCTCCGAGACTCTACCTTGCGTGAAGATCGCCATACAGATGTATGTTGTTGTTGTTGTCGTTGTCAACAAGTTATATTTGAGGCTCAATTATTCTCTACATCAAGAGTCCCTCACCTCAGTCACAACAACAGCAATGTCTTTTTTATCCTGAGCTGTCAGATCTGGAGCAATTTTTACAAGCACAGCTGGTTTCTGACCTCCTTTCAGATTATCTCGTTCCTTCAGCACCTGGAGAACAAAGGCGTATAAATGCACGTTAGGTCAAACAGCTCAGTCTCCGTTCCATAAAATCATCAACTCAATACCCTTCCTTAAACAGACCATCTGAGACAAAACATCTGAAGCACATCACCCCTGACACTACATCGCTTTCCCCCAGCTCTGCTTAGAACAGTCATTTCCTTTCCCAATGCCAAAACAAAGAGGTTTTGATGGAGTAAATAAGGAGAAACTGTTTCCACTGGTGGGTGGGTCGATAACCAGATGACACAGATTCAATATAATTGGCAAAAGGACCAGAGAGGAGATGAGATTTTTTTTTGTGTGCAGCAAGTTGTTATGATCTGGAACACACTGCCTGAAAGGTTGGTTGGAAGCAGATTCAATAATAACTTTCAAAAGGGAATTGGATATATACTTGAAAAGAAAAAAAAACTTGCAAGGCTAAGGGGAAAGAGCAGGGAAGCGGGACTAACTGGATAGCTCTTTCAAAGAGATGGCACAGGCACGATGGGACGAATGGCCTCCTTCTGTGCTGTAGGATCCTATGATTCTGTAATTCACAACTGCTGAATCAAGAATTTAAAAAGAAAAAGGCAATTGCTGACCTTGCCCAGCAGGTGACGCAGCTCCCCCTTGTCCTGAAGAGCTCTTAAGCCTGGTGTGTTGGGGCTGGAGACATTCACCACCAAGTAATCAGCCAGTGGTCCCAGTCTCCTCATTCCCTCTACATAGTCAGCGGCAGCATCTGCCGAGAGCTTGTTTTTCCCGAGATTTATTCCCAAAGGTCTTCCGTCTTTCAAAATAAAAACATCTTTAACATAATTCTAAATGTACAGTATTTCCATAAACATTTTCATTGCTTCTCTTTTGTTGTTGTTGCTGTGGTTGTTGTTGAGAACGCACAACTGTATGGCCCGATTGGACTATTTTACAGCCATCCGAAGCTTTTACAAGAAGCAGAAACACAATTCATTCAAAAAGGTTCTAAGCCTCAGTCATCACTGAGCTGAAAGGACAAGACATAACAATAATAATCCTTGCATTTGATATAACGCCTTATCACACCTTCGAGACAACAACAACTTGCATTTATATAGCACCCTTCACACTGGGTAGCATCCCAGAGACGTCTCAAAAACCTTCACAGAATATACTGCAAAGTATATTTTGCAGGTGAAACATCTTATGACCTGGAAAATGTAACCAGGAGATAATGGAATTTGAAAGGATGTCCTGCTAACAGTAGTCTAATGTTCTACTGTGAGACTAATGTTCTACTGTTAATGACAGTAAAGTCAGCAAAGTGCAAAAAGAAACTTCTTTGCGGCAAAAACGTTTCACTTTATGGAATACGTTAATGTGCATTTTCTTTTTAAAAATTAAAATAGAGGAATGTCTCCCAGCAGCTGCATTTCAAAGTAGGTCATGCACAAACTGCATCGATCACACGAGTGGCTGAGACAGACAGTGATAACAGGCTGCCCTATCTCATATTCACATTCGCCTCAGATTAAGTTTCATGGAGTTTTTTTTGCTGTAGGAAGAGCGTGGAGCCTTCTACCCCAAAATTGGTGAAACCAACCAAAAATCACAGGTGTGTCTTTAATTCAATCGTCCTTTGTTCAATTTTATACGCAATCATTTTATTTTTGTACTGAAATTTAGTATTTCGGGCTGGAATTCCCTTTTAAAAGTCTTCCCCCTTTCCTCCCCGCTCCCCCATACATTCAGAAACGCATTGCAAGTAGCTTGGTACCACAGAACAACAGAAATTTACAGCGCAGAAGGTCATTCGGCTCATGGTGTTTGTGCTTTAGATATTTATCTACAACAATAACGTGTATTTATATAGCACCTTTCACTCAGGGTAGGGTCTCGGAGCACTTAACAATGATCCCTTTTGAAACTAATGTGGATTCTGCGTTAACCACCGCTGCTTGAAGGGCAATCCACATCCTAACTACTCTGTACTTGGAAAACAATTCTCCTGATCTCCCCATTTGCTGAACAACCTTAATTTGGTGCCCACGAGTCACTGACAAAAGTTTAATGCCACCTTCAGGAATTTCACAGTCTTTCCACAGGACTTCCGATGCCCACAGACCAGCCTGTGAGTGGCGGGCAAATGGAGTCCAACTAGAGAAGAATGACACTAATTCTAACCATTGGCAAAAAACCAAACCGCTCCACCTTAGAAATAATAATCCGGGTGTAATGTTTCAGAGGTGGGTTTCTGTATGCATTTCATCAATGCATGCATTGATTTTTTAATTAAAATTTTCAGCCTCCAGCATTAATTTCACAAAATTTACTCCTGTGACGATAATAATTCTGGGCATTCCTTCCACACACTACAAGGATAAATTCTGGATATGTCAAACAGGAATTTAAAGTCACAAGTAATCAGATGCCTGGGATAATCTTTCCTCTTCTAGTGCTATGAGTTCATAAAGATCATTAAGTTCTGCCAGAGATGGCAGAACTATGTTGAGACAAAAGGTCTCAACAGAGCAACACAAATGACTCATCTTAATGCTGGCATCATCTGACAATCGTTAAATGAGAGGAGGTGAGAAGACTAATGGGCTTAAAGTTAAGAGTTCAGTTTGTAAGTGTCTGCTCTCCCTTAAGTGAGCCAGTGGCGACTAAGTGTGGTTCTGTATAAAGCCATTCAGCACTAAAATAATTTGCATCAAAGGGCAATCTGATGTTACATTATCTGAGCAAAATACGCCTTTTGCTGGATACTTCTTTAGCAAAATGTAATTCTACCTTTGCAGACATTTGTCAGGGTGTTGTGTTGGACACTGGGATAGAGCTGGATGAGTTGAGCAATTGTTACAAAAGTACCAGAATGTGAACAGACATTTTCGAATGGATCTTCCATTCAGCCTGTGCGCAGTTGTGATAATAATAATAATAATCCTTGCAATTGATATAGCACCTTATCACGTCTTTGAGATGTCTCAAAGCACTTCACAGAATATACTGCAAAGTGAATTAATTGACTGTGTGTTTTGTTGTAGTTTGAAGACACAAGAAAAGTGTGTGCTAAAAGCATTTCTGATATGAAGGGATCAAAGTGACCATAGACATTTTGGGTAGTTTTGAATGTAGTTTTGGAGTGATTACTTATACAAATCACCAAGCTCACAATGCTGAAGAAAACCTTCAATGTTACCCTGAAGTACGAGCTGGCAACAGCCACATCTCATTTCAAAATCCCAGTAAAACTACTGAATACTAGTGCCATCATGTGGCAAATGAAATGCACAGAATTAACAGCACTCGGAAAATACTGAGCTCTCAGCCTTCCTAACGTCACAATGTTTGACATGCTGCAACAAGACGTTGCACCTGTACAACGCCTTTCAGGTAAAAGAACAAGTTAAAGCGCTTGACAAATGTAGTGGTGCTAATTGGCTACACCTCAAGCTGAGAAGATGTTGACCAAAGCAACAGTTGAAGAGATACAACTTATAATAATCCTTGCATTTGATATAGCGCCTTATCACATCTTCAAGGTGTCTCAAAGCGCTTCACAGAATATACTGTAAAGTGAATTGACTGTATTTGGGGAAGTTTTTTGAAGAAGCAAACCCAACCCTCCACAATCACACACACACACACACAGACACACACATTCTGAATCAATCAAATTCATTCATTGTGAATCAATGTTCAGTTTCCTGAGTAAAGACCTTGAGAAAAAAATCTTGTTTTAGATGTCATGACAACACATCACATTTATTTACAACAGCCTACTGACCAGCGGTGGATTTTAAATGGACATATCGAGACTGTTTTCTTTTTGCTCCTGATGGTGCATTCAGTCCTTTTGCCTGGTTTCTGGGTTTTGAAACTGAACAACATTGCAACAACAGCAACAACAATTTACATTTATATAGGGCCCCTCAAGCAAGATGGCATCCCAGCGCACTTTACTCCCGAACAGTCGAAGGGTCAATGATCGAGGCAGATAAGCAAGGTAGATTCAGTGTAACTCAAGCCTCTCTCAGCCTTACCTTTTGTTAGCTGCTGCTGGGTTTCCCGCCGTCCTTGAAGCCGTTGCTGTACAGCTAAATGCCCATGACTGTTAAAGCCATACCTGGTTCAAAAGCAAACAGAAGTTGCTTTTGTTTTTTGTACTCATACCGACATTGTAGTGAGAAACATTAAAAAGTGGCAACTTGCTGCTCAACCCAATGGAGCAGAACTCTACAACCGAGTTAAATCAGAGACACTTGTGGTAGCCTATGAGTTCCGTGTATTTTATACACACCAGAATCTATTATGTAACAGAGCCAATTCAACAAAAATACTTGCGCGGGAGAAAACTGACTGCAACTTCCTTAACTATTGTGCGAGATATTTATCATCCAGTATCCCCAAAACACTAACCATTAGCACTTAGATAGTCAGTTAAGGGTGAAGCCAATTAAAAATTAGTAAATCAATTGTAACCACAGGTCACAGAAATGCACAGCAGTTCCCCTACCTGTTAATGACAGCCTGATCCGACCGCAGTCTGAAGACCCTAGGCTTGGGGTTTCCTTCCTGGGGTTCGGGTGTGACACTTCCTATCTCTACAAATCCGAAGCCCATCTTGTAAAGCCCATTCACCGCCTCGCCGTGTTTGTCGAACCCAGCTGCAATCCCGACAGGGTTCTTGAAGGTTTGGCCAAACACTTTTACTTCCTGAAATCGGAGAAAGCAGTTAAAAAGTTTTTTTTTGGTACAAATCAGAGGATAAAATCCCACCTGTATTTCAACGTGGAATATGTGCGTGTGTGTAAAAAAAACAACAACCGAGGGCAGGTCTTACACAGTGGAAAAATAGCTACACTCGGAGATCTCATTTCACCCACGATTCTTGATGCTATATGTGGCACTACCAGCGATGATATGGGACAAACCAGGGCACAGAATTTGAAAGTGGTACAGCAGTGGATAATAATAATAATATAATAATAATCATGTTACTGGGGGAAACATCACACCCACAAGATCATGAGAGAGCTTCTGCCCATTTGATCTCATTCTTGCACAATACCCACCCTATCAGCTTCCCACTACAACCTCAAGATATCCCAAAATATTAATCCTTGCATTTGATATAGCGCCTTATCATGATGTCGAGAGGTCTCAAAGAGCTTCACAGAATATACTGTAAAGTGAATTAACTGTGTATTTTGCATCAAGTGTCCTGGCCTTAACTTGTTATGCCCTTCCAAGTCATAAATAACTCCATCCCACAATCCCTTTGCCTTGCTCCCTCCATTACCTCCTTCAAGGCACGACAAGACCCTCTTTTTCAAATGTGCTTTCAGCCGCCCTCCTACCTCTCTGCCCTCCGTCACCCCAACCCTGCCCCCCCAATGCTCCGGTCCTGATCCCAGACTGTTCAGGGCCTTGGGATGTCCTCCCGACGTGAAAGGCGCTTTATAAATGTAATTTTGTTGTTGTTGTTGTAAATTACCGTGTGTGTAAAGAAATACTTTTCGGTGTCTGCCCTTTTACACAACTCTAAACTTGCCCTATTCTGTGGTTTTCTCCTCGTGTTATCTGAATGTTTTGTTCTACATTGACTTTCTCAATCCCATTTAGCATCTGAAAAACTTAAGTAATTTATCCTATATACTAAAATATGATCTACGGACAGCTAAGTCTTCAATCAATTTATTCCTCAGCTCAGCTCCCCTTCACGACTGTTCACATTCACCCAATTGACATCTGCAAATGGTGCAGTCACCTGTTAGATGAGCTCAATCGCGCGCTTACCAGCATCGAGGAATCCTTGTGTCTTGACAGTGGGATTAATTCCCGCGAAATAAACCACACAGAGAGTGTGTGGGCTGTTTCCGGGTCCACAAATCTCTGCAAGATGGGCATTAGGTGACGGACGTAAAACTTCTCATCCCCTGCAGCGGTGCAATAAGCTAAACACAGGAGAGAGCCACCCCCTAGCACTCGGGCAGCCTCTGTTATACGTTTCTGTATGTGGGGGGGGGAAGGGGGGAGAAGACATTATGTTATGTTAACCCTGAAAGCATTATTACAGGAAAAAATTAACTGATGGTGATGACCGTAAACATGCAGTGGGAATCAGGAACAGAATTGTGGATAGGTACAAGCAATGCTAATAAAAGCTGCCATGAATCTGCGGAGTTTGACAAACCTGTACCATTTATTAAGATACACAACAGAACACAGCACTGAACCAAAGTTATTGCAACATATTAGCATTCCCGGTCTGTCCCTACAACAACATGTGAGATGTTGCTGAAACAGCAGTATTGGGTGATTTTGGAGGAACTGTTTAACCTTGGGACAGGCAATCGTAATAATTTATAATTAGCGCCTTACGTACCCAAGGGGATATCACAAAGCCGGCTTTAAAAACTGACTGAGAGCTTGAGCTGGGGAAGGGGAAGTGCCTTGGGATATCCTTCTGATGTGAAAGGTGTCAGGCAAATATAATTTGTGGTTGTGGAAAACTGCCTAAAAGCATGGTTTTAAGGTGAATTTTGAAGGCAGGGAGACGCAGAGATGGAGTTCCAGGGCAGAAGAGCGGAATGGCCGAAGGTTTGCCCACCCAATGTCCAGGTGGAGGGGGTGGGCGGCATGCAAAAGGCTGGTCTTTGCTAAGCGGAAGGAGTGGCCGCGGCAGTCGGGTTTTAGGAGACCAGAGAGGTAGCCTTAACAAGTAATCGCTGTCAAGTGTAGTGACTGCGTTTGTAAGCAAACCCTAGAGGCCAATTTGCACAAAGCAGAAGTGAATAAGCAATTTATTTGGCGGTGTACAAAACACAAAACACTGCAGGCGCTGGAAATCTGAAAGAAAAACCGAGAGAGCCGGGAAATCTCAGCAGGTCAGGCAGCATCGATGGAGAAAGGAAAGTGAGTCAACGTTTCGGGTCCACGGGTGTTCTGACGAAGGGTCGTGGACCCGAACTGTTGACTCACTTTCCTTTCTCCATAGATGCTGTCTGACCTGCTGAGTTTTCCCAGCTCTCTCGGTTTTTGTTACCTAGAGGTGTGTTGGCCAGGGCTCCAGAACAAACTTCCTTCTCTTTTTCAACAGGGATAATAATAATAATAATCCTTGCATTTGATATCGCGCTTTTCACGTCGGGAGGACGTCCCAAAGCGCTTCACAGAACACACTGTAAAGTGAATTGACTGTATATTTGTGGGCGAACGCGGCGGCCGATTGCGCACAGCAATGCCCCACAAACAGTCGTGGATTGAAAATGACCAATTTATTATTGGTTTGGTTTTTTTTGGGAGGATTCTTTTATCGACCATCTGATCAAGCAGAGAGGGCTTTGGTTAAACACCACCAAAACTGTAGCACTTGTCCAGCACCTTATGGAGCGTAATACTGAACTGCGAGTTCAAAAGCCCCTACTTGGGGCTTGACTTCACAACTTTACAACACGGGTTAACTTTTTCTTTCCACGTGGAAATGAGCGAGGCTCACAATTAACCGGTGAAAATAAGCAGAACCAGACTTGTTGTTTCTCTGCCATCTCAGTTCAGGAGTTATACTTTGCTGCGTAATTCCTGCGCCATCAGAACTGAAACCAAAGTGTTGTTGCTGCGCAATCACACACTCAAGAGCGAGTAGTTTTGTGGGCAAACATCGCTGTCCGTCTCTCAGTGCTTCGGAGACGGTGACATTATCGCCGTGAGGGGAGTCAGGTTTTCTTTTAAGATCAAGTGAGGTCAATTTTTTAGGACCTAAGAGTCAGGTCAACGTATGTGATTAACAAATTACTCTTAGGGTAAGTGGCTACGTTGTGGCTGTGTGTGTGAGGTGTGTGTGTGAGGGTGGGGTGTGTGTGTGTGTGTGAGAGTGTGAGGGTGTGTGTGAGGGTGTGTGTGTGGGTGTGTGTGTGTGGGTGTGAGGGTGTGTGTGTGTGTGAGTGTGGGTGTGTGTGTGTGTGTGGGTGTGTGGGTGTGTGTGGGTGTGTGTGTGTGGGTGTGTGTGGGTGTGGTGTGTGTGTGTGTGAGGGTGTGTGTGGGGTGTGTGTGTGAGGGTGTGTGTGTGGGTGTGTGTGTGGGTGTGTGTGTGTGTGTGTGTGTGGAGGGTGTGTGTGTGGTGTGTGTGAGTGTGGGTGTGTGTGTGTGTGTGTGTGTGTGTGTGTGTGGGGGTGTGTGTGAGGGTGTGTGTGAGGGGTGTGTGTGTGGGTGTGTGTGAGGGTGTGTGTGAGGTGTGTGTGTGTGTGGGTGTGTGTGTGAGGGTGTGTGTGTGGGTGTGTGTGAGGGTGTGTGTGAGGGTGTGTGTGTGGGTGTGTGTGTGTGGGTGAGGGTGTGTGTGGGTGTGTGAGGGGGTGTGGTGTGGTGTGTGTGTGTGTGTGAGGGTGTGTGTGTGTGTGTGAGGGTGTGTGTGAGGGTGTGTGTGAGGGTGTGTGTGAGGGTGTGTGTGTGGGGTGTGTGTGGTGTGTGTGTGTGGGTGTGGGTGTGTGTGAGGGTGTGTGTGTGTGGGTTTGTGTGAGGGTGTGTGTGTGGGGTGTGTGTGTGGGTGTGTGTGTGTGTGGGTGTGGGTGTGTGTGTGAGGGTGTGTGTGAGGGTGTGTGTGAGGGTGTGTGTGAGGGTGTGGTGTGTGGAGGGTGTGTGGGTGTGTGTGAGGGTGTGTGTGAGGGTGTGTGTGAGGGTCTGTGTGAGGGTATGTGTGGGGGTGTGTGTGAGGTTGTGTGAGGGTGTGTGTGTGAGGTGTGTGTGAGTGTGTGTGTGAGGGTGTGTGTGTGGGTGTGTGTGAGGGTGTGTGTGAGGGTGTGTGTGTGGTGGGTGTGTGTGTGAGGGTGTGTGTGGGTGTGTGTGTGGGTGTGTGTGAGGGTGTGTGTGGGTGTGTGAGGGTGTGTGTGGGGTGTGTGTGTGAGGGTGTGTGTGTGAGGTGTGTGTGTGAGGGTGTGTGTGAGGGTGTGTGTGAGGGTGTGTGTGTGGGTGTGTGTGAGGGTGTGTGTGGGTGTGTGTGTGAGGGTGTGTGTGTGGGGTGTGTGTGAGGGTGTGTGTGTGTGGGTGTGTGTGAGGGTGTGTGTGTGGGTGTGTGTGTGTGTGTGGGTGTGTGTGAGGGTGTGTGTGTGGGTGTGTGTGAGGGTGTGTGTGTGTGTGGGTGTGTGTGTGGGGTGTGTGTGTGTGTGTGGGTGTGTGTGGGGTGTGTGTGAGGGTGTGTGTGAGGGTGGTGTGGTGTGGAGGTGTGTGGGGTGTGGGGGGGGTGTGGGTGTGTGTGAGGGTGTGTGTGGGGGTGTGTGGGGGTGTGTGGGTGTGTGTGAGGGTGTGTGGGGTGTGTGTGTGTGTGGGGGTGTGTGTGGGGATGTGTGTGTGGGTGTGTGTTGTGTGGGTGTGTGTTGTGTGTGTGAGGGTGTGGGTGTGTGTGAGGGTGTGTGGCTGTGTGTGAGGGTGTGACAGTGTGTGTGAGGGTGTGTGTGTGAGGGGTGTGTGGGTGTGTGTGAGGGTGTGTGTGTGTGTGTGTGTGAGGGTGTGTGTGGGTGTGTGTGAGGGTGTGTGTGAGGGTGTGTGTGTAAGTGGCCGCACTGTGGCTGAGGTTCGGGACCCGCAGTCCCCTCACCTTGAAGCCGTGGCCGAGCATCACAGCCACAGCCGAGACGTCCCTCTGTGTCTCTGTGTCTCTCTCTGTGCGGATCGCCCCTCAGTTTCCCGCTGTCCCCCCCCCCCCCCCCCCCGGGGGTACGGGGCCTCACAGGGACCAGACGCACAGCCGCGGGTCCATCCGCTTCAAAACCCTTTGCGGAAGTCGGGAAATACCCATCTCTTGGCCTGAATTGGTCTGAATTTGACCCAAAAAAAACTATGAACTGCAGCCCACACCCCCCCACACACCCACACACACACCCCCCCCCACCACACCCCCCCCCAACACACACACCCCCCCCCACACACCCACACCCCCCCCCCCCACACACACACACCCCCCACACCCCCCCACACACACACCCCCCACACCACACCCCCCCACACACACACACACACCCACACACACACACCCCCCCCACACACACACACACCCCCCCACCCCCCCACACACACCCCCACACACACCCCACACACACACACACCCACACCCCCCCACACACCCCACCCACCAACACCCCCCCACACACCCCACACACCCCCCCCCCCCACACACACACCCCCACCACACCCCCCACCCCCCACACACAACACACCCCCCCCACACACACCCCCCCCACCACACCCCCCCCACACCCCCCACACACACACACCCCCCCCACACACACCCCCCCACACCCCCACACACACACCCCCCCACACCCCCCACACACACACCACCCCCACCACCACACACACCCCCCACACACCCCCCCACACACCCCCCCCCCCCCCCCCCCCCCCCCCCACACACACACCCCCCCCCCCCCACACCCCCCCCCCCCCCCCACACCCCCCCACACACACACCCCACCCCCCCAACACACACACACCCCCCACCCCCCCCCCACACACCACACACACACCCCCCACACACACACACCACACACACACCCCCCCCCACACCCACACCCCCCCCACCCCCCCACACCCCCCCCACACCCACACCCCCCCAACCCCCCCCCACACACACACCCCCCCACACCCCCCCCCACACACCCCCACCCCCCCACACACCCCACACACACACACCCCCACCCCCCCCACACCCCCCCCCCACACACCCCCCCCACACCCCCACACACACACACCCCACCCCCCACACACACACCCCCACACACCCCCTGTTAAAAAGCAGTGACAGAAGGGAGGGAGGGAGGGGGTTAGTTATACTGTGAGTTATTAGTTAGTTATACTGTGGCAGTTCAAGTTCAGTGGTTACAGTTGTGGCCAAATTAACTGTGAAATGTGTCAAGTGATGGACATCTAATAACCATCGTAGCAATCGCCGAAGGTCGGCATTATAATAATAATAATAATCCTCGCATTTGATATAGCGCTTTTCACGTCGGGAGGACGTCCCAAAGCGCTTCACGGAACACACAGTAAAGTGAATTGACTGTATATATATTTGTGGGCGAACGCGGCGGCCGATTGTGCGCAGCGATGTCCCACAAACAGGCATTGAGGAACGCTTTGGGATTCCGCCGAAGAGAATGACGATTTCGCACAGACAAAACCTTTTAACATTTTTATTTGCAGTTGTTGATATTTGTTTCCATGTTATACACCAGGCCTACAAAAGAGATTGAGGTATAAAACCCGAACCTGACCGATACGGCCTCCGAAGGCGTTATTGAATGTGAATAAACTTAAACAGATCGAAAGTGAATCAAAACGTTACTCCCCCCCTCCCCCCCCGAGCTGAACACTCAGGTCAGACCTTTTAAAAGCATGAATGTTCTTGAAGCGAGTTGTGAAATGTTCCAACGTTTTCTTTGAAGAGTTAGGTCAATGTATGCGATTAACAAATTACTCTGAGAAGCGGTGACGATCTCACTGACTGGTTAACACACCATTCATCCTGTCCCTGATGTAAACACTCTAACTTTAGGTACATCGACATCAGTCATGAATGTATGTACATATGTCTATAAATAAGCCTGCACTGTCAGCCATCCTCATCTAATTAACTAGTCGACTATGAATAACAATATGGTTGACAACTTGAAAATGAATATAAAATAAGAGCATTTCCCCTCTCGCGTTGAGTGTTTGGTAGTAATCGTTTTGTTAAAACCAACAGTTAAACAGAAAACCAGACTTTGTAAGAAGCCATCAACACTAAAGCCTGAATTCCAGGCTTCACATTTCTTTTTTTTTAATAAATACAAAGATATCAGACCCTGCAAAGGCCGGAACAGTTACTGCTGCAATATCGAATTATGGTTATCATCACTTCTGATTACTGGAATTGACAGATAGTAAAGCATCACCAGACTGCAAACGCCATTGTTTATAAAGTCAAATCTGTACAACAAATATTCCAGTTTTCTTTGTGAATAAAAAAATCTAGGCATAATGTTAAGAAAATACAATTGCAATGCTAGAATTTCACAAAGTAATTTTTATCACTTGAAACTGTCACTTCCTGTGATAAAACTTCCAATTTATTATTTTTTTACAAGGCTGAAATAAAGAAAAAGATAATATACATAAGGCTTGATTATGGATTGGATTATGCATCAGACCTCATAAGACAAGATAGTTCCTTCCCCCTTTATATAGAAAGGTATTGTATGCATTAGTACTTCCCTCTGAAATTGACAGGATGTATGAATAATTAGATGAATACAATATATAATTACCATTCCATGATCATAAATCCAGATTAAATTAGGATATTCGTTAATTCCGACACACCTAGTGCAATCCCACTATTAACCCAAATACCATTCCTGTCCATTCTTCAAATGATCAAGCCTTGCTGACCATTTAGAGCACTTTGAAGGAAACTAGTTTTCAAATTCAATCAGTTTCTAAATTCTAATAAAGGAAAAAAACAACTCTCAAACATCAGTGCCCCACTACAAGCCCTGGTTTGTGACAAGAGCCTTTCCCCAACATTACCAGGACCCGGATATAATAAAATATCTGAAAGTACAGTACAATACCAGCTGCTGGTACAACTGTTCAAGAAAAGTGTTAATATTGAAGATTACTAATAGCGACTGCTTCTATGATGAAGCTTTCAGGTTCTAGTCAAGAAATATTAAGGAATTTAGAATGATTTCACGAAAAACAAGAGCTCTCTTAGTTAGCAAGTTAGGTTTTCTTTTTCAGGTCTTCAAATCTGCGAGATAAGTCGTCAAAATCAATATCTTCTGAAGCTGCAGAGTTGCCGCCGAAAGATGTTGCTGGGAGGGAATCGGGCACAGAGGGCAGCTCCGGAAGGGTCACGTTGTCATAAATGAAGTCACTGGAAGCCGCTCCCCCCGGAGGAATGCGTCTGGGTGCAAGATTTGGGTCTAAAAGACCAACACAATGAAATTATTATTCTATGCATGATTTACTTCAGACCATCTTCATCACAGTGAATTTTATAAAACGGATTACAATATAGGAAAAAAAATCACAACTTACCAGAAACCTTTGAATCAGGAAACATAGTGTCAACATTCTTCATATCGTCAAGCTGTAAACAGCATCAATTATCAGTAACAGATCTGTTTCCTCGAATTACAGCAAATTACAAATAGCTGAAAAATTATTTGCTGATGGATAGATCATTGGATCATTGAAGCAAGCTATGTAAGCAAAATGCAAAGCAACGATAGAACGAGCAGACTTAAAAGCTGGATTCTCAACCATCACATAGAAACTGTTTAAGAAAAAGGCCACGTATACTTATCTTGTACATTTTTTAAAAACACATTGAGATGGACTGTGACAGGTTTGGGATAATATTTTTTTAAAAAAGTGGTCAACACAATGTAGCTATTCTCCAATCATGGAATAAATATTGTTTATTACACGCAAGCAGGTGCCTTGTTTAAAACGATACCAAGTATTAATTTAATGCGGTACGCTGATCTGAACGTTGCAGTGGGATTAGGAGTGAACCGTATGGTTGAAAGCAAGTACAAAATGTATGCATGGCCCAAAGCACTCAAAAAAATTCAAACCAATTCTTCCCTGATTAGAAATATTCCACTCTCCCCTTTGGCCTGGATCAGGTCTGGCGGTACAAGGCATCTTCAACTTACAGATTCATATGTCGGTGGCATTGTTGGTACCGGGGGTGGGTGACCTCCCATGTGGGGTGGTTGAAAATTGGTGAATGGCTGATAAGTGTCCACCGACAAACCATTAAACTCCTAGAAAACAAATAGAAGACAGGGTTCTACCAAACATACACCTAGCATTCCCCCTTCCAGCTTCTATTTTGGACTCTTTAATATACAAATCATGATTTTTGGGGGGGGCGAGGGGGAAATCACACTTTTTTTTAAGTACAAATAGGCAGGAGAGTTCAGATCTTCAGCAAGAAATGTAAAAAACACTGCATTCAGTTCTATTTTATTATATATCGAAAACAAAATTGTGTACCAGATGGAAAAACAGAAAAAAATTTCAAAACCTCCAAAATATCTTCAGTAATCAAGTTGCAAGTATAAAATTAAACTTCAAACATACCTTTCCTGGAGGATAGGAAAATGGAACAGATGGCGTGGGCATTGGCAAGCCTATTGGGGGTCCCATGTATCCTCCGCCTCCACCTCCACTGTGACCACCCTTCTTGTCATCATTATCTACATTAATCAAATCTGCTTCCACTCCAACTGGGGCTTCGCTCTAAAAATATAATTTGTCTTGTTATATAAACGTGACAGCGGGGTTTAAATTGTGATACTGAATGTTGTGCCAACCCATAGACAATCTGCTGTGATACAATCTACTTACTAAGCAATCCCATTATGAAAATGTAAATTAGACCCTGTATCACTTATAATAAAGCTCCACAAACTACAAAAAAAAAATTTGCAATGTTAAATCCCATGCAGATTAACTCGCATCACAGCAGTCTCCTCAGATAATAACACTACTTCAAGCCTTTCAGACTATGGGCCATTTTCACAAGTGATCATCACATGAACTAAGTAAGCAGGGGAAAAAAAGCTTGTACAATTTGCAGGTTCTCCAATAGTGTGTAGAATTCAACACTGACCAAACAAACTCTAGGTATACCTACCATGACAACAGCATCAGGTTCATAGGGAACATTGTAGTTCTTGGCAATCTCAATTAAGTATCGCTCAACCAGGATTTTTGGCGGTGCCTCCACACTTAGCTTATGCATAAGCTAGAAAGGGTCAACAAATATTAAAAAAAATGTGACAAGGATGAAAAGATTAGGACCATCTTACATATAGTTATAAACCAGTTACAGATCCAGCTGATGATGCCCAATTCCCAACATTATCCCAGATTCTCATTAAAACGCAGAAAGATTCCATACATTTCTTTGAACAATTATTATATTCATATGATTCCCATGCATTACACATTTTTCAAATAGTAAAGCATTACCTGGCTGGGATAATACAGCTTTTCAGATTAATACATGTTCACGTTTGGCAGAACAGGTCATTTTTAAAATTTGTATTCACTTAAATGACAGATCCGTGCCTCACTCTTTCGAACTGCCTTCCTCTCTTTTGTTTGTCCGTCTTTAAATCCTATAAACTTACCTCTTCAATTGGCCTACAGTCATCTTCCCCCCTCCCTCGTTGCTCAGCATCTAACACAGTCCCTGTGAAGTGGTCTGGGAAATCACCCTATGTGAATACTGCTTTATAAATACAAGTACTTGTTGTCCTTAAAACAAAACTGGACTTTTACCCTTTCATTCACAGTCCCAATCTGGTTTGTCCTGCAGAGCTTTCCGTATTCTTTGCTGTATTTGGCACAAAGTTGGTCTGAAACCTACAACAAAAATAAACAAATTATAAAATACAAAACGTACTTAGCTCAGTGCTAGGGAAGCATGCAGTGGTCAGTGGTGCTGTCCTTCAGATGATAGTTTAAACCTAGGTCCTGACATACTGTGGATATTATAGACCCCCTGGCACTATTTGAAAAGAGAAGCGAGTTTCTTCCTAGTGTCCTGGACAACAATCTCCAGATAAAAGAATATTGCTCATTCATTTCATTGCTGTTTATTGACATTACTGCATGCACGTTCATCTACAAATACACAATCACTGCACTTTACAGAAAAAAATCTGTTGAAACATTTTGAGTAGTTTTGATATAATGCATTATATCAAATACAAGGATTATCATATCTAGATTAATCATATTTTTGTTAATATCTCCATTTTAAGTCCTACAGGTGGAAGAAATCACTTTAAAATCACCATAAATTACTGCCTCTTCTTAATTTGGGGCGTTTTAAGTCAACTCATTTCCCTTTCTAGTAACACTTCTTTTTTCCACTTAAAGAGGGATTGTAAAACCAAAGATTTAAAAACATACAGATGTGTTTTTAAATTAAAAGCTTCGGCAGCTATCTTGAAGATTTGGAGCAATTAAGTAATTTCATGATGGGTTATCCAAAAGCAGATTGTTTAATATTGGAACATGTCAAAGACTTTGCTCATGTGCTTCTCAAAACCCTTTGTCAATTTATTAACTATTCCCCTTTGTCCCTTTTAGTCTATGTTCGCAGGATATCCGAGAACCTAAGGGATCTGCAAAGTCTGTAATCAGACACTAAAGATCAGCTCACATAGGAATGAAGCAGGGATTCTGCATAACGCTCTCCAGTTATTGGAACGAAGAGTGCAAATCTATAGGAAGTACAGATCTTACTGTTCCCTACACATGACTGAGAATGAGTGCAATTCCAAATGGCTCGGAGCTGTAAGTTAGCAGTAATTAGGCTAGGAATGATTACCCAAATAAATCTAAATGACTAAGTATCAGAAATGTCTTGCATTTTAAAATCCAAAAGATCATTTATCCATTATCTAAAACTATGCAAACCAAAAGAACAAAACGGATGCAAACCTGGCTAATAATAAATTTAATGAATATTGTTTCTTATCTTGAAACAAACAGAAACAATCCTTTTACTTCAAACACATGCATGTGAATTACATGCAAAAATTAAAGACGTGAGCACAACAACACTGGTCCATTCCATACACGGTCTCTCTCCACTTACTATTTTCAACTCTGTTACTTCACATTGTAACCTTGGGGCAGCCCAGATCAGTGTTGACACTGCCTCTGCCAGACCAGGGTCCAGTTCCCTGAGTGAAAAGGGGCATATGGAGACCATAAATTATTTATAATCCATTAAGATACTTACAACTTTGAGTTCCGTTACTTCACTCTGGAGTCGTGGGGCTGCCCAAATCAGAGTAGAAACAGACTCACCCAGGCCTGGGTCAAGCTCCCTAGTGCATAAGGATTAAAATAACGTTGATTACACATACAGTGACAACCTTCAATTTAGCTACAATTTCTGCACAGCTTCTGCAACAAAAAGAATGCACTTTCCGGGCTTTGCAGTCTTCAGTATCTGTTGGAAGAACAGTAACATTGTTTCCCAATTAAGCAAATATGATAGCACCAGTGGTGACAACACAATATTAACAGAAGTCTGAAAGTTTTATACAATGATAGAATTCGTGAAGCAACTGCTTACTTCATTGATTGAATCAAGCCAAAGCGTGCCAGTAACAAATCACAGTACAACTCCAGAATCTCCATTGCTTCCACCAAATAGTCCTCACGAATAATATGCTCAACGCGGATTCGAGCCCGTTCATCCTTTCCAGATGAAAGGTAATCTGCAATCTCTTTTCTGGCTTTCTGCGCTAACTCAGCTGTAACAGAGTAACCACACAATGACCAATCAATGTCTTTCCAAATGGGAAAAGGAAAATCTATACACTGTCTTCAGCTTTGGTTTCAGTTTGAATATCTTCTGAACAGATTTTACATACCAGATAAATAAATTATCCAAAAATTACAATACCATTCAATATCCACAGTTTTTTTAGCAATATTTCATAAGTGCTATTCATTTGCAAAAATCTCTCAAATTGATGTTTAATTATTCTACATTTGAGCCTCAACTTTTGCAGTGAGCTTTGATGAGAATCATCATTTGGTTGAGGTGTGTTAGGATTTGGTTTGACCACAAAGCAGCACAGAAATTTTATTGGTTGGTTCCTTCAAATGCAGAAGTTATTTTATGAAGTAAAGCAAAATTATTAAAACAGTGACAGTGAGCAATTTCATACTGAACAACTTTGATCTAACTCAACAGATTTGCTTTCTTAAAAGAGAAACATACTTTTCTTTTTCTCCAATAGTTTAAGGCGGTTGATGACAAGTCGCAGATTGACCCGTAACCTTTCAGCTTTAAATCCTGATCCCAACATGGCTTGATTTTAATGGAAGAGTTCAAACTGTGAAATATTTAAATTCCTAGTAATTGTCTGCAAAAAAAAGAAAAACAACTTTACATTCACTTTATATTCACGTTACCTTTATATTCACTCTAGTTCAGAATGGCAAAAAAATCGCAGTCAGCGATTTATTCCTGCTAAACATAACACAACTATTTTGAAAACCCCTGTTCAAATTATAACACAGTTTACATTTAATCCAGTCTAAATTTACCCAGGAAAGGATATAAGACAAGATATCCACCAATTTATATTTTGTAAAATAGGTTGGATATCAGGCTAATCCAACCTCTAAATCAATTGACGTACCTACAGCACTTTTTTTTAAAAAAATGCAGTCAATAACATGACAGCACATTGGAAATAGGGGGTGGGGGTCTTAAGATTACCAAAAAAAACAATAAAGGAAGGAACAAAGCTGAGAAAGCAACAAGACAAATTTGCCCAAAACCTTTTTCTTCAAATTGAACACATTTTCCACCCACCCATTAAGTAGTTCCCATATTAATTTGAACTTTGCCAAAAGTTAATTACATTTAATATGGGTTAAAAGTCATACTATACGGTGCAATATAATAATCCTTGCATATGATATAGCGCTTTTCACGTCTTCTCGACGTCTCAAAGCGCTTTACAGAATATGCTGTAAAGTGAATTGACAGTATATTTGTGTGCTTATATTATTGTGCTCAATGCCTAGCCATTGCACAATAATTGTACAATAAGTGACTTGCCCTTCACTCTGGCAGGGTTTGTGGTGACGCCAAAGGTGGCCTTACTCACGCAGCCTCGTCACTTGGTGGGCGTTAAAAGTCGGTACAAGGTATAAACGACACAGATCAGGGATGGGCCCAAGGAACCCACTGCTCCCTTTTTTTGTGAAGGGAAAAAAAAATACATAGACGCTTCGCGATCGCCACCGAGCTTTAAATGCATTTTCTGCTCGACGTTCAGGAGGTGCAAGAAAACAAAACACCAGGTTCACTCACAGCCACTCTCCCCTCCCCGCCGCAAAAAAAAAAGGATAAGGATAGTTGACCGACCGGACTCGACGCCTAGTTATTAAACAGTGAACGCACTTGCGCTGAGTGGCCCTCTGACCTACCCCCAAAACTTTTTTTTAATATATATATATATACATATCATGCGTATACATACATACACATATATATATATAGATAGAGAGAGAGAGCAGTAAATGGCGACAGTAAGATAAACTCGCCCGAAACATTTGTCTTGAAACTGAGCACATTTTGTTCTCCGCCCACCCCGGCAAAGTCGCTCCCGTCGTGACAGTTGGCCTTTCGCCCGAAGCGAAATGACTTATAATATTAGGACATAAAGATAACACATAAATACATCTGCACATATATATATATAAATAAATAAATGAATAAATAAATAAGTAAATAAATAAATCAAACAAAACACAAGAAAACGGCACAAAGTCCCCCAATACTTTATTTACAAGACGCTGGGGGGGTGGGGAGGGTGGGGGGGGGGTGGGGAGGGGTGGTGGGGGGGGGGGGGGGAGGGGGGAGGGAGGGGGGGGGTTTGGGGCCTAAATAAACCCCGAGGACCAGACGAAGCAGGAAGTGATTCGGGAACGAAAACAAAAACCTCCCCGGAACCACACACACACACACACACTCCGCTCCGGGGCTCGGGTCCCGTCCCGTCCCGTCCCGTCCAGTCCGACCCCGGCCGGGCCAAAGGGCGAGACCCCCGCCGCCCGCCGAAGGGAGACCTACCGTCCGAAGACCGGCGCCCGCAACGCAGCGAGAGCTCAACCGCCGCCCCCGTCACCTGGAAACCGTTGCCGCCGCTCGGTCGGAGGCCGCCGGAAATGACGTGACCCTCATCGGGTGCGCATGCGCGGTGTCAGAAAACTCCCCCCCCCCTTCCCCTCCTCCACATACAACACAGTCACTCACTCACTCACTCACTCACAAAATAATAACACCGCAATAACACCCATTTGATATCACACACTGAAGGGGTAAAGAGCTCAGATTCGGACCCGGAGCCTTTTTCGCCCGTCTTGGAAAGCGTTCTCACAGCGTCGCGCGGTAATCTACTGCCCAGCGTAGTGACTGTGTACCCGCAAGGGGTGGACCCCCAGCGCCTCGGGACGTCCTGTTGTTGTTGTTGTTGTTGTTTCGCCCAGGAATGTGCGGTCACTTCACTTTACCACCGTGTTCTGTGAAGCGCTTTGAGACGTCCGGAAGACGTGAAAAGCGCTATATCAAGTGCAAGGATTATTTATTATTATTATTATATTGTTGTTGTTGTTGTTGGACCCAGCGGCCAATTCGCAGACCGCCGCATCCCTCAAAATAGCCATGACCGATTTTAGTTGGAAGACTGTTGTGTCGGGGATAGACACCAGGGTGTTGTTCTTTACCCGCCGTGTAATTAACGACTGGAACCGACCGGGTGGGCAGGAAGGAGTGGTTGAGACCAGGACACTGGGACTCATTTGAAAAGCAGCTCTGATGCTGTGATGGGAAAACGGCATCAGAGCAGATATTCTGGAAAGACGAGATCACAGCAGGATATACCGGAAAGTTTCCAGCGACTGCATTTTTGTAGGAATGCATAATATTAGGAATAAGGATGGCATGATAGGATAGGATAACAATAAGAATAAAAGTGCACTGGCAAAAGTGGAATTGCCTTCGGTGCTGCCATTTGCTGGATCACTAGGTCAGAACAGTGAAATTTAAAGGGATTTGATACCAAATCAAAATGATTACTTTTAAGTGCAGGAACAGTTACATATTTCAGAAGATTGTGTAAAGGAAACTCAGGTGCTGTCATCTATAATGACAGTCCTTCTAGACATACTCAATATTCCATTCTGTAGGCCTGTCACTGGGTGTAGTTGGTCTGAGATTAGCAATGATGCTGCACAGAACATATGTAGATATTTTTACTTAAAAGTAGTAGTGTTTCCTGTTAGACTGACAAACCAGCATTCCATCTAAAACAGGCCTAATTGTTCTGTTCAACAGCTCGACTCTCTGATAGGAGGACAGGCGGACGGGTATTTCTGTAAAAGGTTTGGACTCAAATGAGTCTCACTTTATTCATCTGAACTTCTATTGTGATCTCATGAGAAGCAAAATGACATTCATAAATCCAGCAAAACAGGTTTTAAGCTACTGTTACTATAATGGCCAAAACTTTTCACTTATGTAGCACCTTACACACATTACGTGTGTTGCACAAAGTCTCAACCCACTTTACAGAAATGTAATGGGCGGAATATGGGGAAGGATAGTCGATGGGATTGCAGATTTTTAAAATTGTTTTAAAGGCCTTGGTGACTTAGATTGAGAGTGGACCTAAAGGTCAGTTTGAAACATTAATTAGTAGATGTTAGATTCTTGATTTGTCTTAAATTCACTGGGGCAAACATGTATTTATGTAACTCGTGCATTTACAAACAAAGAACAAATCAAATTTACATTTATTTACATTTACATGTATGTACACACATTACGTGTGTTGCAAGGTTCATTCTTTTCCTCCACAGATCTACTTCCTGAAAGCTTGCTGCTCCTGAAAGCATCACCATCCAAGGATACACACTCCACCTTACTAAGCCAGTCCGGAATCTTGGCGTCTTGTTTGACCCTCAAATATCCTTTAATAATAATAATAATAATCCTTGCATTTGATATAGCGCTTTTCACGTCGGGAGGACGTCCTAAAGCGCTTCACAGAACACACTGTAAAGTGAATTGACTGTATATTTGTGGGCGAACGTGGCAGCCAATTGCGCACAGCAATGTCCCACAAACAGTCCTAGATTGAAAATTACCAATTTATTATTGTTTTTGGATTTTTGGAGGGATTATTATTAGGCTCTGTGTGGAGTAAGGAAACTTGCCCAAGGTTTCGCCCTCTGCCTGGAATTGAACTCAGGTCTCTCGCTTGCAAAGCGAGTGCTCTAACCACTGAGCTACAGGGCTCCACATCTACCCCACATCCATGCCATGACCCGTTCTGCCTTCCTCCACCTCCGCAACATTGCCTGGCTACACCGCTGACTCGCACAGCAGGCCGCCGAAACCCTCATATATGCATTCATAACATCCAGGCTTGACTATACAAACTCCCTGCTTGTTGGGCTCCCCAGCTCCTCCCTCCATAGACTGCAGATCATCCGGAACTCTGCAGGCTGTGTCCTCTCCCGCACCAGGCTCCATGACCCTGTCACCCCCATCCTGGCCCGATTCCACTGGCTTCCCATCACACAGAGGATACAGGTCAAGATCCTGGTCCTCACTTTCAAAGCCCTCCACAGCGTTGCTCTCCCCTACCTCTGCGAACTCCTCACCCCTTACCAACCTGCCCGCTCCCTCCACTCGGAGGGCTCCAGCTTGCTTTACGTCCCCCGCCTCGCCTGCCCCACGAATGGCGGGTGAGCCTTCAGCCACTCTGCTCCCACCCTCTGGAACTCCATCCTACAGTCCCTCCGCCTCACCCCCTCCCTTGCCTCCTTCAAGACCCATCTCAAGACCCTCCTCTCTGACTGTGCCTTTGATCACCCTCTTTCCCCCCCTGCCCTCTATCCTCCCCAATCGGGTCCAAAACACTGACTGCCCAGCACCTTGGGACATTCTCCCGACGTAAAAGGCGCGATGCAAATGTAATTTTGTTGTTGTTGCCCCACTAAACTAGGTGATAAAGTAAAGTAAGCAAGCGCTCTGAGACATTGCCCAGCATGGAGGGTACTATATAAATGCGAGTTGTGGTTGTCGTAATCCTGATTTGAATCTGAAGTCTACCCTCATTTATTCACATGTGCTAAGCATATTTTGACCTTGAATCATGTAAACGTTTCTCCTCTTCCTGCAGCACAAAAATTGTATTCAAAGAATCAATAAAACCCTTGTGTTCAAAGATATCCCCCTTTGGCTCTGATTCAAGATATTAAACAAAGTAATTCAAAAACTGCACCACCCTCATCAGAAGCTCTTTCATATTGTGGCTGCTATTACAAGGCTGTGTCTCAAGTATAACAAGTGAGATACAGAGTTTTTCCCTATGGCCGAATATATACTTTGACATGTCTGAATCAGCAGTTTGTTTCTTAACTAACGAAATCAATAAATTTGCAAAAACAAGCTCACAATCTATATTGACATTCCAGTGCAGTTCTGGGGTGTGCAGCATTGTTGGAGCTTTAACCAAAATCTTGGCGACATGTTGAGATGGATGTTAGAGATCCAACCCTTCTCAAAAAGAGTGGGTTTCTCCAGGTTCTCCTGGCCAGCAATCTGCCAGATAAAAAATGGTTAATTATAGGAACTGCTACACACAAATTGGTTACCACATTCAACTACAAAATACACACTAACTCTGTTTCACAGTTTTGATGACTGCTGAAGAGATATCAAATGCAAGAATTATTATAATATATTATAATACTTGATAATAAACCTGCAGAAGCACATTATTTTCTAACTTGTAATTTATATTTACATGCATCAAACCTTTCCTAATATTGATTGTCTGCGTTGGTTGAACTGGATGGTGCTACTAAGCGGATGTAATGCATAACTGATGAGAAATGAGCCTTGTTGCTTAAATATCCATGAGGTCATCCTTAAAGGAGTATCGAGAATACCAGTCAATGGGCAAGAAGATTACTGGAAATAGATTACTTTCTACAATTAATATAATTTATCATGTTATAATTATATTTAAATGTTGGGGGAACTGGAATCAGGAGGCAGCAAAGCTGGATAGGGTATACCCAGGACTGATGACTGACAAATGAAGTTCAATACAATTAAATGGAAGAATGCTGGAATAGGAGGCACTTATACTCCGTGGACGACATAGAACTTGTCAAAACAGAAACTGGAAGAGAGCCAGGCATGTTAAATGACTCACCATGATAAAACAGTGTGAGGCAGCAATAAATAGACAAATAGGATATAATAATATAATCCTTGCATTTGATATAACGCCTTATCACGTCGTTGAAATGTATCAAAGCACTTCACAGAATATACTGTAAAGAGGTTTGACTGTGTATTTTGTGGGCGAAACGCGACAGCCAATTACACACAGCAGTGTTTTTTTGAAGGGTTTATTACCGTCCCGGAAAGCTATCTGCCAATCGACTAACAACTGGGTTGCAAATTACTGCTAGGTAAACAGAGGCACGTGGAGTAATGAACCTTGCCTAAGGATGTGGGACTATACGCCTAATAATAATCCATCCAAAAAAACAAAAAGCAATAATAAATTGGTCATTTTCAATCCACTATTGTTTGTGGGACACTGTTGTGCGCAATTGGCTGCCGCATTTCACCCACAAATATAGTTAATTCACTTTACAATATATTCTGTGAAGTGCGTCTGGAAGAAGTGAAAAGCGCTATATCAAATGCAAGGATTATTATTATTATTATTGTTACAAAGCCAAATCAATTGAGTTCAGATGCGCAGAAGTCATAATCAAGTTGTAATAGTAATCCTTAATCCTTAATAATAAATAATAATCCTTGCATTTGATATAGCGCTTTTCATGTCGGGAGGATGTCCCAAAGCGCTTCACAGAACACACTGTAAAGTGAATTGACTGTATATTTGTGGGCGAACGCGGCAGCCAATTGCGCACAGCAATGTCCCACAAACAGTCGTAGATTAAAAATGACCAATTTATTATTGTTTTGTTTTGGAGGGATTATTATTAGGCTCTGTGTGGAGTAAGGAAACTTGCCCAAGGTTTCGCCCTCTGCCTGGAATTGAACTCAGGTCTCTCGCTTGGAAAGCGAGTGCATTTCATAGAGAGGTCTCACATCATTGAGCCATCTCAAAGTGCTTCACAGAATATATTGTAAAGTGGATTGATGCCAATTGCACACAATAGTGTCCTATACACAGTCGTTGATTGCGTGACCAAATTTGAGTGTACCGTATTGTGTTTGGGTCAGGTCTTATCTAGAGTACTCAGGTGCCACATAAGTGATGGATTCTCAATGCCGTGAAAAAGCATATCAAATGCACGGATTATTATTACTCCATAAACTCAAGGTAACCATGATATAAGCAGGCTCTCCTGGGCCCGCGTTACAGAGGAGAACAATGAGGACGACTCGCACTACTAAGGGGAATATGATAAGAGCAATAATAATAATAATAATCCTTGCATTTGATATAGCGCTTTTCACATCGGGAGGACGTCCCAAAGCGCTTGACAGAACACACTGTAAAGTGAATTGACTGTATATTTATGGGCGAACGCGGCAGCCAATTGCGCACAGCAATGTCCCACAAACAGTCGTAGATTGAAAATGACCGATTTATTATTGTTTTGGGTTTTGGAGGATTATTATTAGGCTCTGTGTGGAGTAAGGAAACTTGCCCAAGGTTTCGCCCTGACCTGCCGGGAATTGAACTCAGGTCTCTCGCTTGCAAAGCGAGTGCTCTAACCACTGAGTTATAGGACTCCACAATGATTACTCAAGTTAAGGCTCGTCAGACTTGTAAGAATATTAATAATCCTTACATTGTAAGAAGATATCTCACAGGACCATTCAGACTTATATAAGATTTTAAATGGGATTGTGAAGGTAAATACTTTTAGACGCACCAAGAAAGCAGAACAAAGGGACACAGGTTTAGGGTTGCTAAGGGCAATTTTAGGGAAAATACTAATAAAAAATTGAAGCATTTTGTTACCCAGTGAATAATTAATGACTGGAACAGGTTAAGAGATTGGATGCTTGAAGCTAGGGCTGAATTCATTTTAAAAAACTGTAATAGGAGTACAGTAGGGTGGGTATTCTGGAAGATGAGATCAAATGTGTCAAAGGATCTTCTTCATCCTGATCACTAATAATGGTAACCCTTGCATTTGATACAGCATGTTTCATGTCAGGATGATATCTCAAAATGCTTCACAGGACTTACTGAAACTTCTGTGTTATTTGTAGGCGAACATGGCGAATGATCCTGTAAATAGGCTAACCTGCCTTCATTCTTGTGCTGTAAATTAGGTCAAACCTCCCCCGAAACAGTGGAAATTCGTCAAATTCCTTGGAGGGAATTCTCCTGCGTACCCAACGATTCTGACATAAAGGTACACAGGAGTTGAACTAAATGGGCCCACGGGGAAATGGACGTAGATGTAAACATATATATATTCAAGATATTAATAAATGTAAGATGTTGGTATAAATGGAAGGTCGATGACATTTCAATATGCATTGTTAGCGTTGCAAGTGCCTTAGGATAGTGTTTGTTAATAATTTAAGATTGTTATACAACACATATTCCCCTGACCTTAACCAGCAACTACAGTATTTGTACTGTACTACAGGGAAATCTTTTTTCACACAGAACTGACACCACTGTATGACACGATCTAATTCCAGGTTGTACATCTACATCTATTTATAAACGACATTGGTTGATAACAAACCTACTCACCTTCAGCTCGAGAGAATCGGCAGTCCACAAATTTATCATTTTTACAACGATTTTGTTATTCTAGATCGCCCTGTTATACATTGATCATTCTATTACTATTGATATTATTGAGTATTCCCTATCGGGATGCCATTGCTCACCCTGTTCTGTCCAGAAATCACAAGGATTGAAACAAATCCTCGCATTTCTGTAAGTAATATCAATTTCGTGACACGATGCCCAAGTGAGAAAACCTATTTTCAAATCGTGAGATACACAAAATATATCCTAAATAAAACAAAATACAAAATACAGAGTGGAAGAGGCACTTTTAGAAACCTCCTAATGGCATTGGGGTATCGTAAAGAGTTAATGCAGCAATTGGGGATTTGAGGGACTGACCGGATTTTTTTTTGACCTAAAAAAAGGGGGAAAAAGATTCTTTTATAGAAAAAAAATAAATGAATTGGATGAACGAAGCAGATACCCATCAGGTAAACCAGTTCCCAGCAGCTCTCAGGGCTGACTCAACAGCCTCCACTCACAAGAGCAAACGCAGGGAGGGTTTCACACGTATAGCCAAACAACCTCCGCAGAGAGAAATACAACGAAAACATAAATATAAATAAAAAGAAATAAAAAATAAAAATAAACAAAAAAGAGCGGAGGAAGGGGGAGGGGGAGGGAGGGGGGAGAGAGGGGAGGGGGGGAGAGGAGGGGGGAGGGAGAGAGAGAGGGGGGAGGAGAGGGGGGAGGGAGGGAGAGAGGGGGGAGGGGGGAGGGGAGAGAGGGGGGGAGGGGGAGAGAGAGGGGGGAGGGGGGAGGAGAGAGAGAGGGGGGGGGAGGGGGAGTGGGAGAGGGGGGAGGGGAGAGAGAGAGGGGGAGGGGGAGAGAGGGAGGGAGAGAGAGGGGGGGGGAGGAGGGGGGAGGGGAGAGAGGAGGGAGAGAGAGGGGGGGGGAGGGGGAGAGAGGGGAGAGAGGGGAGAGGGGGGAGGGAGGGGGGAGGGGGAGAGGGAGGGGGGAGGGGGAGAGAGGGGGGAGGGAGGGAGAGAGGGGGGAGGGGGAGAGGGAGGAAATGCGTCTGCAGATGGACAGAGGTAATCCAGAGAGCGTCGCTTTGCGTCACGCAGTTTCCGAGCAATTGAAACCTATTCCTGGAGCGGCTCAGGACCGGGACCGGACCGGCGGCCCCATCCCAGTCAGTCAGTGCCCCCACTCCACCCCCCCCCTCCCCCCCCCACCCCCCCACACCCCCCCACACCCCCCACACCCCTCCCACAGTGGCCGTGTGTCCAAAACGCCCTCGAAAAGCCTCTGTCACATGTTTTAACAGCACAAAAAGCGGCAGAGCTGCGGCGGTGGGTGTGGACTCACTCTCACACTCACTCGCACCAAAAAAAAAAGGTTTGGATCGCACAGCGCAGCTTTGTCCGGAAGGAAGTTCTTGGAGGGAAGGAGGGAGGGAGGGAGGGGGAGACTGACGGAGAGAGGGAGAGACTGACAGAGGGAGAGAGGGAGAGACTGACAGAGGGAGAGACTGAGAGAGGGAGACTGAGAGAGGGAGAGGGAGACTGACAGAGAGAGAGAGGGAGAGACTGAGAGAGAGGGAGAGACTGAGAGAGAGGGAGAGACTGAGAGAGGGAGAGACTGACAGAGGGAGAGAGGGAGAGACTGACAGAGGGAGAGAGGGAGAGACTGACAGAGGGGGAGACTGACAGAGGGAGAGACTGACAGAGGGAGAGACTGACAGAGGGAGAGAGGGAGAGAGAGAGAGAGGGGTAGTGAGGATGAGGCGGTGACATTGTGGGGAGAGCTGCGGTCAGTGTGAGAGATGGACAGTGAATCGGGAGCCGCACAGCAACGCCGCGAACCAGACATTTCCGCGCAACAGGTGGTGGCGGAGAGAGCCGTGTGAGCACTGCCGACAAACAGCCCACAGAGGGAGGGGTGGAAACCCCCCACACCCCCACCCCATCTTTTTTCTGTCAAGTTTACTTCTCCCCCCCCCCACCCCCCTCTTCACCCCCCTTCACCCCCCTTCACCCCCTACCCTCTCTGCCCCCCTCTCCCCTCCCCCCTCTTCACCCCCCCTTCACCCCCTACCCTCTCTGCCCCCCTTCACCCCCTACCCTCTCTGCCCCCCCCCCCCTACCCTCTCTGCCCCCCTCTCTGCCCCTTCCCCCCCTCTTCACCCCCCTTCACCCCCTACCCTCTCTGCCCCCCCTTCACCCCCTACCCTCTCTGCCCCCCTCTCTGCCCCTTCCCCCCCTCTTCACCCCCTACCCTCTCTGCCCCCCCTTCACCCCCTACCCTCTCTGCCCCCCTTCACCCCCTCTCTGCCCCCCTCTCTGCCCCTTCCCCCCCCCTTCACCCCCTACCCTCTCTGCCCCCCTCTCTGCCCCCCCCCCTCTTCACCCCTTACCCTCTCTGCCCCCCTTCACCCCCTACCCTCTCTGCCCCCCCTTCACCCCTACCCTCTCTGCCCCCCCCCTCCCCCCCCCCCCCCCCGTGTGTGTGTGTGTGTGAGAGAGAGAGAGAGGAAACCCATCTCAGCAGAAAGCAAAGCAGTGAGTGTGTGAGAGAGAGAGAGAGAGAGAGTGTGAGTGTGTCCTCTGGTCTGCAATGTCTGATTTGCTCCAGTGGTTTGGGAAGGCCAACAACATGCAGAAGGTGCTGATGTTTTGGGGTCTGATCAGTGGCGTTTGCTGCGTTTTGGACTCTTCCACCTCCTCCTCCTCCTCATCCTCATCATTATCCAACAACAACCACAGCCGCAGCAGCAGCAGCACCGACCTGACACGTTACTACGTTCACATCGGAGACGGCTCTTCAGAGGAATTCGATTTCCCCGAAAACACCAAAGGGATCATCGTGATCTCGAGTGGTTACGGGATCGGCTGGGAGGAGGCGGAGAAGGAGGAGAAGGAGGAGAAGAAGGAGGAGGAGGAGGAGAAGAGGGAAAAGGGCTCCCACTGTAAGCTGACGGTGGAGTCCATGGATCCGGATGTGCTCCGGGTACTGAACATCAGCAATGCCCAGACCGTGGGGTTTGAGAAAAGTTACATCGTCAGCATCCAGTCCGGCATGGCCGGCTCCGCAGCCCTGCTGATCAGGCTTCTGGACGGTACCAGTGCGGAGCCGACTGTCGTGGCCGAGCGCAGCGACTACACCATCAAAGTGTCGCCCAACGACGAGGCCGTTGGCTACGCTGCTCTGGCCCATTTCTCTCGAAACCCCGTGCTGTACGCCCTCCTGCCTCTGATCTTCATCAACAAATGTGCTTTCGGGTGCAAAGTGGAAATAAGCGTCCTGAGGGGGCTGCTCAAGCAGCCGCACCCCGTCATTCTGGGCATGATCGGCCAGTTTGTCCTGATGCCTCTCTATGGCTATGCCTTATCCCAGATGTTCTCGCTACCCAAAGCCCTGTCCCTGGGACTGATCATCACTTGCTCCACCCCAGGTGGGGGCGGGGGTTACCTCTACAGCCTTCTCCTGGGAGGGGACGTGACCCTTGCCATCTCCATGACCTTGCTTTCCACGGTGGTGGCCACTGGCATGATGCCTCTCTCGTCCAGTTTGTACAGCCACGTCCTCAACGTCCACGAAACTCTGTACGTGCCCTTCTCTAAGATCCTGATAACTCTGCTGTTCATCGCCATCCCCATCTCCACGGGAATGTTCATCAAGTATAAATTCCCCAAGCTCAGCAAGATCCTGCTTCTGCTTATCCGACCGCTCAGTTTCATACTGATCGTCGGAGGACTCTTCATGGCTTATCAGATGGGAGCGGATATACTATCTAACGTTCGGAACGAAATCATTCTCGCCGGCATCGCTGTCCCTGTGTTCGGATTGTTCATTGGGTACCTCATGGCGTACTGCTTGAGTTTGCCCGTTCCTCTGTGCAAAACTGTCAGTATCGAGATTGGAGTTCAAAATAGCCTGCTGGCACTTGCTGTGCTCCAGTTGTCCTTCCGCCGCTTTGAAGCAGACTTTGCGTCTCAGGCCCCTTTCATCGTGGCTCTCAGCTCCACATCAGAGATGCTGATTGTCGTGGTTGTTTATCTCGTCTACAAAAAACTCAGGCCCAGCCCCGACTCTGAGAATGGCGACTTCAAGCCGTAAACCCTTTGCAAATTCTTCAAACCAAAACAAAGGCAAATTTCGTGCACTGCGAAAATTTAAATATTTTTGTACCGTCATGTTTTCTAAAACAAAAACTATAATAGGTACTGCAGTAATTAATTTGATATGTTTACAGTCTTCGAAAAATGAGCCAATTCTGTATTTTGCTTTTTTTTTTGCTTAAAATAAAATTGCACTGTAATTCACGAACTGAAAATCTGAATACATTAAGTCAATCTCTGCCCGTTGTATTTAGTATCAATTCCTTAATTGGATGTACTAAATTTAATCCAGTATTTGGGGTTGGAAAAATCTCTTCATTTTCATTTCCGCAAACGATTTGTTTCGTTCAATCATTTTGTCCCACTGCAGTGAGAGTTGCTGCCTCCTGTAAAAAAAAAGATGTGCAATAATGTTTAATCAGAGAGAGTCTGCATTGTTACATAATCCTGTAAAGATTATAATAAGAACTGTCGATGCATTTATCTGGTATGTTACTCTTTACAGAGTATTGTACTTTAAATGACAGTCAGAGAATAAAGTTACCTGGGAATAGAGGTGTTGTACAGATGTAACAATTAGACAGCACTGTTAAATTCTGTTCCAAAGGTGATGTAAGGGAGAATGGTGGGTGTGGTAGCCTTTTCCCCATTCCTTTCGTGTTGGGGAAATACTTCTCAAAACACAGCATATGTTTGTAGATTTCCCCACAAACCAGCATTTTTAAAAGCACGAAACAAGTGGTAACAGAGATTCTGATAAATATACAGAGGTGTCCTGTCTAATGTTTTTTTTTAGTATTAATGCAAAAAGAAATTGTGCAATACAAACTCTTGTCTTGTGTAAATGTAGAATCTGCGGCTTGCAAGACAGCAAAAGTAAGTACTGGCAAAATACCAGAAGCCACATTTTTGGCAGACGAATCCAAATTGTCTCTTTTACAACGCAACTTGAACAAGTTTAGTAAAAAAAAATTAGAATTGGACTGAAGGTAAAACTGAATTTCAGATCAGCTTTCCTCTAGAGGAGAAGTGACTGTATGAACAAGGTCACACGAAGGGAGAGTGTTGCTGTATCTATCCTTCACCACATAAGAGCTGTGAAATTGACCAAGGAAAATATAAAGCAGATCTTAGTAGCAAAAAGATTTCCTCTCTTATTGAATAGGGCCATTGTCTTATATATTACATTTTACCAATACAAGTTTTTGGCACATAAACCCATTGAAAGCAGTTAAGATTGTTTTGGTAGAATCAATTTTTTTTGCAACTTTTTTTTAAGCAACCTGTAACAGTTTCTGGTTCCAGTTGAGATACCGCCGCCTGATGAGATTTATTGTGTAATATAATAAATATATAGCATGGCAGATCCTGCTAAGTCTTGTACTTTATTTTTTAGCCCATCTTAAAACCATGTGCTTCAATTTGAATGTGTTATTTAGAGCAAATACCCAGGCCCGTTAAGACATGGTTAAGCAATGGCTTTTCTGGTTACTGTGAAGTTTTGTCCCTCTCTCCTCGGTAATGCTGCAGATGGTATTTAAGACTTTGACTACAAGCTGGCCATTGTTGTACTGTAAATATCAGATGGAATTAATGAAATCTACGCTGACGATTAGACTGAAAGTGAAGAAATGTTTTGAAGTAATCAGGCGTCAAACCAGTTTCTTCCTCCTTCACAAAGCACAGTGACTTGCACGAATTAGCTCAGTTGGTTGATTTTGTGATTGTCTGTGAGGCTAAGCAATTTTACTATGTCTGAGTTTACAGTCCACTTGCAGATTGATTACTGTATGTCAGACCCATCTGCTTTGAACTTGTTTAAGCATGAACAGAATACAAAGAAAAGTAAGCTTCAGCAGAAGTTTATCATGTATGGAAGTTATGTCATAATAAGACGATGGAGATCTCTACTTAACCAGTTCTGATTGAAGTGTAATAACTATACTGTTACTCCAGCAATGGCTGTGATAACTGGCTGACATGTCATCAGTTATTCATAAACTGATATTTCAGACAACTTTTATTTTGGTAAACCATATGCATTGAAATTCCATTTTGCAGTGTGTACCATGTACTCTGTTGTTTTTTTCTGGGTCATACAACATTTGCTAAATAAATACCTGTACATTTGTTGAGTAACAGAAACTTTTTGTTTTATTAACTTGTGTCTATTTTGCTTTATAATAATTATCTGGTAGTGACTGGCTAAACCATTGAATATACCTCTTAATATTTTTTTTAAAAGCTACAAACAATTCACAATAACTGACTATGTTGCACTGCGTATATAATACACTAATAGCCCTTAGTTATTTAAACTGAAATGTATGGAAATATCATTAGGCACTATATCAAATGCAAGAATTATTATTACTTTGAGAATTCCCGATGATTGGTCTCCTGGGTCGCTTGCAGCATTGTCCAGGAGATTAATCTTTTAATTCCTGGATACTCCAGGACAATCATAGTGACTGTGCATTTAGTTGCAGCCTATTTATGCGCAGCAATGTCCCACAAACAAAACTAACAAAGCGGGGAATGATTATGCGAATAGGGGGAAAAAAAAGCCTTACTATTTAAAATATGTTTGACCTTTTCAGTTTTTCTGGAATTTTCAGTTTAAACCATGAGTTCAACTTGCTGGCTTATCTTGTTTCAGAAATCCTGAATTCTGCACCATAGTGATGCGGAACACTTTCGGAAAAAGAAACCTTAGGAAACATTTGTGAATGCCTCAATTCTATCACCCAGACTTTAAGAAGGGAGTCTCGCCCATTAGAATCTCTTTATTTTAAAAAAAAATCAAAGCATTTTGATTAACATTTTTTGTCCCATTGATTTTTATCAAATGTTTTCGATTAAAAATTCAAACCTTAAACTTACCTTCTTCGTGGGACTAAGATTGAGCCCTGTAGCTTTTGCTAACTTAGTTGTTCTCAGCCACACTAAACTGGAAACACTTATCCAGAAACTTCACTGGTTGGCTTCCATATAATCCTGGAATATTTTGTTCAGTTTCTGAACTCCGTATCAGCAGAGTAATTCGTATGCATAGAAAAGTATCATTATATTGAGCAGAGATTAAAGGATCCACAGGTCTCACAGAAAAAAAAGGTTATTTATTGTAACAAATGGCACTTAGTTCTGAGCCACGATATGATACAATACAAATTTACATTTGTGTAGCACCTTTCACATCGGGAGGGTATCCCAAGGTGCTTAACCGTACTGACTTGGGACCCAAGCTGGCGGTGGGAGTCATTGGGGGTATGGAGGGTGAAATGACCAAATGCGTGGTCAGAGGTAGGTCTCGAGACAGACCTTGAAAGAGGTGAGGGATTCCAGGATGGAGTTCCCGAAAACGGGCAGAATGGCCGACTGCTGATGGTGGGGAGGATAGGGTGGGGGACATGAAGCAAGGCCAGCACTTACTGAGCAAAGGTAGTGGCCGAGTTGGTAGGATTTGAGGAGGTGGCAGAGAGGGTGGGGTGAAACTATGGAGGAATTTAAAGGTGGGAACAAGGATCTTGAACACAATCCTCTGGGGGATAGGGAGCCAAGGGAGCGGAGCGAACCTGACTAATCAGTGTAGCAGTTTTATATGCTTGGACAGGCAGTGTGTTTACATATTAATGTGGCTCAAGGATCAGGTCTATAGCAACACCAAAAGTGTGGACTTTGATTTGAATCCTATCACACTGCTGCAGGAAAACCATTTGGAGGTCAGGTAGCCATCCACAAAGTGGAAAAAAATCTTTGAACTTCTGCATTCCATCTTTTTATTAGATTCAGTTTATGCAGGATACCATATTAAATGTATAATGTGGAGTCCTGTAGCTCAGTGGTTAGAGCACTCGCTTTGCAAGCGAGAGACCTGAGTTCAATCCCCGGCAGGTCAGGGCCAAACCTTGGGCAAGTTTCCTTACTCCACACACAGCCCTAATAATAATCCCTCCAAAACCAAAAACAATAATAAATTGGTCATTTTCAATCCACGACTGTTTGTGGGGACACTGCTGTGCGCAATTGGCTGCCGCGTTCGCCCACAAATATACAGTCAATTCACTTTACAGTGTGTTCTGTGAAGCGCTTTGGGACGTCCTCCTGACGTGAAAAGCGCTATATCAAATGCAAGGATTATTATTATTAAATGTGGGTTTGTATGTATCTGTGAATGTGACTGGTAGAATGAAGGGAGAATATGCCTGTTCCCTGATTATCTTGTCTCTACATAACTTGAGTTGTTTATACATGATTTAAACATGAAATTTAAGAAACCAGCTAATTTCAGCAGTTGGTACGGATTATAAAATCTTTCATGAATTTTGTAACTTTGTTTACAGTGATGTGTCAAATTCCTTAGGATTCAGCATTTAGCTCTGACATTGACCACAAAACCTCAACCATTTTTATTTTGCAATTACAAATGTACAATACACAATTAAGTTTTACAAAGAAATATCAAGAAGCATATCCAGTTTTCCCACACAATATTAAACATGGATTTAGATTTATAATGTTTTAGATTTAAACTCTGACTAATGGTTAGCTGCTTGTATGAAGGAAGGAGTGTAGCAAACGTTCTTATAGTTTGCATTTAAATTCTAGGAAATCTTTTTGAAAGGCTGCGGAATGCTAAATACAGTAGTTAACACCCAGTCTAAATGTTGAATTTTACTTCCCCACTCAAGTATTTATGCTTAAAATTCTCAGCAATATGAGTTAGTTCAAAGTCTGCATGGTTCATGGAGCTTGGTACGGGTGACGCCTTGAGGTAGGGAGTTCCGAATAATTTGCAGTTTTTCGAGGAAAGAGTCAGGAAGTCTGGCAAGAAGGGAGTTAACATATCAAATTAAAACTGTGTTTAAGAATTTAGGTTTAACTCAACCAAAGGCACCTCGGTTACTCAACAAAGCCAGAAAAATATTAATACAGCATTTTGTCTAACTAGATTAACCGTACCTTGGATAGGCATATACTCTGTAAAGCTGCAATTATTTAGAATATAGAAAAGCTGTTCCTGATAAGTGTTAATGAGCTCAGGCTCCAGTTCTCTATGACATCTAATTTCACTTTCTACATGTGTGCAAAACGCAAATTGCAACAAAACAAGACTTTCTGCTCTTGATAACTCTAATCAATGAGACTAAAAAGCTATTGTCCTTCCCTTCTCTTTTTCATCATCCCCTTTCTTTCCACACTTCTTCCTCAGTGTCCAAATAAGTGGGGAATCCATCACTGATAAGAGAAAATGTGAAGGTAATTTCAGGCAAAATCAACCAATAAAACTGAAATCCTGTCTGAAATGAGCACACAGCAATGTTTTTCTCTCTGTACCATTCTGTTATCAGTCACACTAATTGACCCAGAATGACTGATTCTACAGTACTGTGTTCTGTTGGGCTAATTGTGAGCTTTCAAGCACCTCATTATATGAGCCTAAAATAGCTTGGGTGTGTTTTTTATTTTGCGAATGTAATAGTGACATGTCAAAACTCTCAAGGACCTGTAAGGTCACCTACTTTCCTTTGAACCATTGATAAAAGTTTAATTTGACAGTGAGTTAGGCAAACAACACAAGAATCAGACACTGATGTTGGATAATACTGCACTTTCAGAACAACCTCAACGTTTCTAACATACTGATACTGCAAATCATCAATAAACTCTGACCAGTTATTCAAGGCATATGAGAAGTATAGTGTGATTACTGCAGCATTATTTTCTAACAGCCTTTTCAGTGTTGTTGCACTCTAAATGTATTTCATTAGGATGCAGTAGCTAACAGGGTTGGCAATGACAGAACTCGGTAATAACGATCCTTGGAGGACAAACAAAACAGCATCTTCAGGCGAATGAGTAACAAGCAGCGTAGTATTCTGACCTGACAAGGCAACCAATCTCTCCTAATTTGTGTTCCCTGTGATTTCCCCATCTTATTGAATTGGCAGGAGTTGAAGCTAAAATGGAACTGTTCTATTGGATGGAGATTTGGGTGTTTAACCATACAGTTAAAATGGTCTTTGACTTGAAAGGAAACGAGGAGAGTTAGTGAGAAACAAAGCAAATCCTTTATTGGCTTCAATACCAAACCATAGAAGGGTTCAGATCTCAGGATCATGCTTTACTGACATGCTGTGTCAGCTCAGGAAGTGCTCTCTTTGGATCAGGAAGTAGTGAAAGGTTTCAGTAGAATCCAAGATTGACTCATTGCTTAAGTTTGCAAATTTCAAATTGTCAAGTTTGCAAATTTCAGAAACATAAAACATCCCTTTCAATACAACGTGCTGTACTTGCAGTTTTCCACTGCGAATTTTATATTTAAAAAAATTATTTTGGTTATCTTCAACAATAGTATAATTGAATAGAATACTATTTTCACTCTGTCCCACTGTATTTCCTAGGGGCAAATTAAATATATATCCTCTATCAGTTACATTGGAGCCGTCATTGGTGCCTGTAGAAATCATCTCTTCTGATGGTGTTCACAGCAGATGGTAAAGACCAGTAGGTTCCCATTGTCAATTTGCCAGAGACAACAGCAGAGCAAGAGAGATCCTTCACAGTGTAATGTTGAGGCAAACCTTTAACCTGATGCTACCAAGCAAAATCTCATTCTAAAATATTACTTAAACATTCTACTTTAACCAGTTCTAATTCAAAACTAAGAAAGATATAAGACTTGAGTAGCCTTCCCATTGATAACTTTACATTTTCTATGCTTTTTGCATGGAATCAACAAATTAGAAAAAAAGTACATGTTTGCCACTCTAATGGCATTTTCATATTGTCTTCTTATAGATCAAACTTATACATTAATCTGTTTTTTTTTCTAGATCAATCAAAGTGGATTCTGTTGACTACAGATAGACACGAGTCTCGGAGAACCTATTCCTTTTGAGTCACTTCATGCAGGATATAGTATGGTTTGTAAACTGGATCAACCAGAATATACAACAACCTACGCAACTGGACTTTGGAAGTGTTTCATTTTACAAATGCAAATATAAAGTGCCCTGCAGAGTTGAAGAGAATAGCAAGGCTGATTCTCCTGGTGAGAGGGATGTTCAACAAGGAACGATTAAATAAAGGCCAGGACTCTATAGTGGTCTATAAGATGCTTCAACAACTAAGATGACACTGAATCAGAGAGTACAGAAAGTAAACTTGAAGCAATAGTTTTAGATATGCAAAGGCAGCAGGACAAGAGGGCAGAGGGCAAATCGGGGGTAATAAAGGGGTAATATCTTTCACCCCAGTGAGCACAAAAAGTCACCAAAAATATAAATTAACAAATATTTTCCTATATATAATACTCTTATTACCCAATTCAACAAGAAAGATATTAGGCTTCTCTTTATTTATTCCAGAATCCCTCCACCCCGTCCTGTGCTTGGTGCGGGGACTTAACGGAGGTTGGCAGTGCAGACTCAGATACATCGCACAGATCTCTGGTCTATTGCAGGGATGCACATGGCATGGCACAGCCCTCCATAGACTAGAGACCTGGGCTATGCATCTGAGCACGTACGGCCAACCTCGGTCGAGTGCCTGCCCCAGTCACACCGCCCCATGCGGCCCAAGAGGTCCTATTGCCTAACGAGCAACTCTGGTTAATAGTTGCTGCATCCTTTTCCCTTGGATTGACAAGTTGTCATGAATTTACTGAATTCTTAATGGAAAATCAGTGGCAGCAACAACAACAACAACAACTTGGATTTATTTTGCCCCCTCCACGCTGGATGGCGTCTCAGAGCGCTTTACGGTAACGGATCCCGGGACCGAGCCAGGGGGAGGGGGAGGAAGGTGACCAAAGACGCGGTCGAAAAGAAAGGTCTTCAGCGGAGACCTGAAAATGGGAAGGGAGGGAGCGAGGCGAAGGGAGTGAGGAAGGCAGTTCCAGAGCCTCGGGGCGTAGTGGCTGAAGGCACGGCCACTGAAGGTGGAGCAGAGGACTCGGGGGATGAGGAGGAGGCCAGACCTGGAGGAATTAAGGCAACGGGTACTGTTTTGAGGAGAGAGGAGGTCAGGAGAGGTAGGGGAGGTGCAGAGAAGTGCAGGGATTTGAATACGAGGGTGAGGATCTTGAAGTGGATCCTCTCTGGGACAGACAGCCAGTGCAGTCTGGCAAAGACTGGGGTGATCGGGGAGCGGAGTTTTGTGCGGGTGAGAATGGCAGGATACAAGACGAATGGTACCTTGGAAGGTGAATCATCTTCAACGATTACAAACTATCTGATACATCGACACAAAGATAATGTGTGGATGCAATATTTGGGAGAAAAGCCAAGCTTGTGATGTGTCTAACCAAGGAATTCTGAATATCTCTGAACCTTTGAAGGCAATTCACAAAAGTTTTTCAAGAAACAGTAGTTGACAATAAAATTAAATCAAATCTTTAACCTTGAATTGTCCAAATCATGGCCTCATTTTAATCTGAAGTCTGATCATCAGAATTCAACCAATTGAACTTGTATTTTTTCCTGGGTAAGACAAGGTCCAAGGCTAGAAATTTTTGTTCATGTTCCGATTCAACTAATCGGTAGCCAAGCACATTCATGGCCCCTCTGCACACATCTTGTACTTTTAAGACGTTTGCAAATGGCATCACAGTCCTCCACGCCTGAGATAGATTTTTAGCATTTCTAGGTGTTATTTTGAACGCTGATCCAGTGCCTTCTCCATGGGTGATGTTATATATCCAGGACCGAAGCTTTGCTGTCAAGTTCAATTCAGCAAATTTATACAATTCAGAAATCTCACTGAGCGGATCTTTCACAAGGTCTTCATACCGTATCATCATGTAACGTTTCTTCAGAAAGTCTGGAGCTTTCTTCGTTGCTGATTCGTGGATCTGTATGTGGCTCCTGCAAATTTCCATCATGGCTTGATAGTTTGACAATTCAGCATTTTTACTATCTATTGCCTTGCCTTTAGTATCCAAAATAATTGCATTGTCTCTCAATAACGCAGCCACCGACTTATCACGAGATTTAATGACAGCCCGAGGATCCCTGACAAGGTGGATGATTTTAAGGTTCAGGGAGGGGTCAGTAAGCAGAGGATACAGAGCTGATAGGTCAAAGAATCGGACTTCTTTGAGCACTACATGGCTGTAGGTTTTGCATGATTCTTCCACTTTAAAGAAACTGGACGAGTTGCAATGTTTCTTGCATGTCAAATAGTTGGTAAGATCTGTTCTTTGGTAATGGTCGCATGCAGGTGGTGAGCACAGAGCTCTGCTAACATCCCACTGGAACAAGTTTGATATTAATTTGTGTTCAGGCATGTAGACATTAAATACCGACATATCGCACAGGAATGTGGATCGCACGAGGTCCCGAACAGCCATCTGCAAAATCTTAGCACTGTTTTGGTACATGTTCACCCACACGTGCCAGGCAGGTTCCATTAGGTAGAAGACATCAGGATGTTGACTGAATACCTGTCCCACAAAGGAGGAACCTGACCTCCAGGATGAAAGGATGAGGATATGAACTTTGTTTTCCCTCGCTTCGGTTTGTGTGAGCACCACCTTCTGTTTGTTATAGATGATGATTAAAGCAAAACTTTGAATTGCTATAAGTGTAGCAACACTGATGGTTAAAACATTTAATCTCACCATTGCGATGGTTGATCAGGATTAAATGTTGTTCCACACCCTGTAAAGAAAATAAACAGACATAGATATTACAAGTTGTTTCAGAGCTACAGTGTCACTACCCCAACCAATATTTGGACAGTACAGCACTGTAAGTCAGTTGTTGGTAAATATTGATGAGTGATAAAAGCAAAAGATTGCATTTTGAAGCCCTCTTCTATTGGTTTAATTACCATACCATAAATACAATTTATTTAATGATTTTTAAATTTATTTTTGTTCACAAAAGGTGTCTGACACATGCGGAAACCCACCACCCTGCTTAAAAGAGTATCTAAACCCAAGTGAGAATTCCATGGTTAAGTTGTTTTTCAACACAATGGCAATGGGAGCAAACCTATTAAGTTACATTCCCCTAGACATACATTAAATTAAGGAGCCAAACTGATGGGTGGAGGAGGAGGGATTACAAACATATAATTAGTATAGTATTAGTAAAACATAAATCTCAATTATCACAGTCACTATGAGACTCATAGAGTCCTGTAGCTCAGTGCTTAGAGCACTCGCCTTGCAAGACAGACACCTGGGTTCATTTCAAGGCAGGGCGAAACCTTGGGCAAGTTTCCTTACTCCACACGCAGCCCTAATAATAATCCCTCCAAAACAAAACAATAATAAATTGGTCATTTTCAATCCACGACTGTTTGTGGGACGCTGCTGTGCGCAATTGGCTGCCGCGTTTCGCCCACAAATATACAGTCAATTCACTTTACAGTCTATTCTGTGAAGCGCTTTGAGATGTCGAGAAGACATGAAAAGTGCTATATCAAATGCAAGGATTATTATTATTATTTTAATTCAATTTAAGTTATCTTGAAATATTTTTGTAGCGATCCAGGACTTGGGCTCAAATCCGGATTCAGATCCAATAGGTAGAAGGTCTTTCCATGCCCAGAATTAATGATCTTACATGACACAAGTCTGAGGATGGTCTCAATCCAATTCTTAGTACACTTAGGTTTCCAGCACAAAATAGTCCACAAATCAATTTTATTTTATTCTTCTCTCTTTTTTATATTTAATATTTGGTATTTAGATTCTTCTCCTTTCCTCATATTATTACTACTGTATATAAGGATACTGCTAACACTCAGTTTTGGAGGACAACTCTGAGCCAAACACACCATGTTACTAAATGAGAACTAAAATCACAAGGTAATATTGAGCTGGATGAAGGATTCCATAGTGTCACAAGGTGGCGCCTACAGTTCAATAAGAAAGCAGTTTTGGTCCTGAAAAAAAGATCTTCTTCGCACAATACGTGACCATATTTTTGCTCCAATCACAGTGTGAACTTGCAAGCCGCAAATACAGAAGAGATTACATATGATGCTTACTCTCATGGAATGGAATAGAATAGAAATGGGTCTCATTGAAGGTGACGAAATGTCAGAATCGAGTCAGCCCTCTGTGACGGTCTCAGTAAAACGGTTCCTGAGCCAGGTGGCTCATACAACTACTATGCTATATATAACATAACATAACATGTAGGAGCAGGAGTAGGCCATTCGGCCCTTCGAGCCTGCCCCGCCATTCAATCACGGCTGATCTTCTAATCTAACTCCAGCTAATACCATAACCCTGCCTTTATCCCCATATCCCTTAATCCCTTTTGCAATAAGAAATCTATCTATCTCAGTTTTGAATATGTTCAAGGACTGAGCGTCAACAGCCCTTTGGGGTAGCGAGTTCCATACGTTCACCACCCTTTGAGTGAAGAAGTTCTTCCTCAACTCAGTGCGAAAGGCCTGACCTCTGATTTTAAGGTTGTGACCCCTGGTTTTAGTTTCTCCAACCAGGGGAAACAATCTCCCACTATCTACTCTATCATGCCCTTTGATGATCTCATAGGTTTCTATAAGATCCCCTCTAATTCTTCTATATTCTAGAGAATATAGGCCCAAATTGGTCAGCCTATCCTCGTAACTCGACCCCTTCATAATAATAATAATCCTTGCATTTGATATAGCGCTTTTCACGTCGGGAGGACGTCCCAAAGCACTTCACAGAACACACTGTAAAGTGAATTGACTGTATATTTGTGGGCGAACGCGGCAGCCAATTGCGCACAGCAATGTCCCACAAACAGTCGTAGATTGAAAATGACCAATTTATTATTGTTTTTGGTTTTGGAGGGATTATTATTAGGCTCTGTGTGGAGTAAGGAAACTTGCCCAAGGTTTCGCCCTCTGCCTGAAATTGAACTCAGTTCTCTCACTTGCAAAGCAAGTGCTCTAACTACTGAGCTACAGGACTCCACATCCCTGTGTACTAACCTAGTACATCTAATCTGCACCCCCTTCCAAGGCAAGTACATCCTTCCTTAAATGAGGAGACCAAAACTGCACGCAGTATTCTAGGTGTGGTCTCACCAGGGCCTTATACAGTTGCAGCAAGACTTCCCTACTCTTATACTCTAATCCTTTCATAATGAATGCTAACATACCGTTCGCCTTCCTAATTGCTGCTGCACCTGCAGACTAACTTTCTGTGATTGGTGTACAAGGATACCCTCTGGACGCTAACACATTCCAATCTCTCTCCTTCTAAAAAATAACCCAGTAAAACAGAAAAAATCAGATTCTTTAAATAGTCTCAATCAACTGATTGCACTCTCTCCTGTAGGCAGAAGATTGTGGTTTCAAGCCCCACATCTGACTTTAACTCAGTTAGACCTCAGGTTCCAGTGCAGCACAGGTGTGTGCAGTCCTGTTGGGAAGTTTCAATCTTGGGATGAGATGATAAACCAACATCAGTCTGTTCAAGTGAACATTAAAGATTCCATGTACTATCTGAAAAGAGAAGGGAGTTTCTCTAGTTGTCCTAGCCAACAATTCCCAAATAACCCTAGTCATAAATGCAATTTTGTATTGTATTCACTTCAGGTATTCACTTTTGTTGGGATCTCAAGTCCCAGTGTTCGAGTCAAAAGACCAGACAATAAAGTTTTGTGGCTAACTCAGTTTATTCAAATTTAAGCACAGCAGGAATACATAAAGCACATACTACCCGGATTGTGGAGCAGTCAACGTATTTGGCCCTCCATCTCCTAAATGCCTGGTTCCTTGTTGAGTCTGCTGCTTTATGCCAACAACCTTTCAACTTTATACCTTTCCTATCTTATCCGTGACAAGTTTTACACCTCTTTGTTTATCCAATTAATTATCAGGCACGTAGATTTTCCACAATGGGCAAAGTATCAAGCGTACTGTTACTTCTGTTTTTGACTACAAAACAGCTTGTATTCTCCTAAGGCCAATGGTTGTCTTACCTCCAACATTTCATGTTGACCATTTCTTCTTAACCAGACAAAAACAATTTATGTTATTAACAGATGTTGAGTGGGATGGTGTGGGTACAAAATGGTGTTATCCACCATTTTGATTCATATATACAGGATTAACAACTTAACCTTTACAATTTTATGCAGCTCCACCCCAAAACGTTTCATTACATATACATAATCTAACACTGTTTGTGGAACATCGCTGTGAGAAAATTGACTGCTGCAAAGCACACGGTGACAAACTTTACAGCACATCATGTGAAGCAATTTGAGCTAAAAGACCCTATTCAAACCAAAAGGATTATTATCAAATATGTATTTACGTTGTTTTATATTAATATTTCTAGATTGTTTCTTTCATTCCTTCCTCTTCTTAAACTGGTTTGATTCCCTGGACCTGTGGGTTGGATACTTCTGCCAACAATCTCACCCTATACAATGTGTAAATGTGTAAGTTGTAGTTCAAGCCTGAACTGTGAGTGTGAGTTGGCTATTGAGTTGGCTATTGTATAGGAGGAAGGGTTGGGAGGGAGAGAAGAGGTATCAATAGCTGAAAAGAATCTGTTTTTCACCTGCTACTCTCATTCAGGGCAAGAATTTCTACAGAACGATCAGATTGAACTCCAGATTCAATTCCAGGCAGAGGGGCGAAACCTTGGGCAAGTTTCCGTACACAGAGCCTAATAATAATCCCTCCAAAACCGAAACCAATAATAAATTGGTCATTTTCAATCTACGACTGTTTGTGAGACATTGCTGTGCGCAATTGGCTGCCGCGTTCGCCCACAAATATACAGTCAATTCACTTTACAGTGTGTTCTGTTTATCAAATGCAAGGATTATTATTATTATAGATCTCATGGCAGATGTTCTCTATCCCTAACCCAGAGACAGGAATGCAAATGTTGAGTCTCAATTGCTGCTCTGTGTGAACATCTCACCCTGACTGCACACACCGGGGGTGGGTGGCGGTGGCGGTGGCGGTGGCGGTGGGGGGGGGGATGAAATGTGGGTTTACCACATCTGGTTCCCATTAATTTATTACTTAACTAGCTTTTATTCCGCTCACTGAAGAAAGCCATCGTGATGACCAGAGCAAATGATTTAGGGAAAAAAAATCCAAGGCAAGAGTTAAAAAGTCACCTTCAGCTGATCTGAAAGAGATTTCTGACAATGTGCAAAGCAAACCACTGGTGACCTAATTGCTACCACACACAAAAATAATCTTTTAAATTGATTTTTTGTAAAAAAAAAGTTATGAAACTTACAGAAGTTGTAGATCATGGATCCAACAGCCACCAGCTATTGATTCCTGATCTCCTGTATCCCTCACACAATATTATTCTGACTCAACTTTTCTGACTTGATCCTCAACCATTCCCCACCACCACCACTGTATGTAAAACATTTTCTTTGGAAATAAAACGTCCAGCAAAGAAAAGGATCCAATTGCAAGAAGATAAAATAGTGTGTGTGTGTGTGTCTGTGTGTTTATACTCGATTTGATAAGGATTATTTCCAAACCTATGTAGGTGGGAAAAGAGAGAGAGAAAAAAAAGAGATAGAGAAAGAGAAATAGAGAGAAAGAAAAACAAATTTCCTTACCTCTCACTGCTCAGTGATCTTGTGGGGATGGAAATGTCTCTCTTTTCTTTCTTTCTTTCTTTCTTTCTTTCTTTCTTTCTTTCTTTCTTTCTTTCTTTCTTTCTTTCTTTCTTTCTTTCTTTCTTTCTTTCTTTTTTTTCCTTCTCTCTCTCTCTCTCTTTCTGGCTCTGTGGTTAATAAGTATTTCTGCAATATTTTGCACCCCCAGAGAGAGAGAGGAGAGAGAGAGATAAGGAGATGGGGAGAGGGGAAGGAGCAGACAAAGCGAATCTCCTGTTAGCGAAGGGTTTAAATTAGGACGTCTTGCGCTGTGCTGCTCTCTCCCTCTCTCTCTCTCTCTGTGACTCTCTGGTCTGTTGAGTTGCGGAACAGCTTCAGATGTTCCTCCTCCTCTCTCTCTCTCTCTCTCTGTGTGTGTGTGGTGTGTGTTACCTGTGGACTGACGTCGTTCTGTCCTACCCCCCAGTGTCAGAGCCCACCCCACTTTTTTTTTACACACACACACACACACAAACACACACACACACACACACAAACACAGGCAAAATACAGAATTAAGAGGAAATCCAGCAATTTACTGTGTGTCCAGAAAACTTGTGGGCAAAGAGCGAGAGGGACTGCGGGTGGGTTGACCCTGCAAACTGGTTGCTGAATAGCAGCAACGACAACAACACCACCACCACCACCAACAACAACAATGCCACCCACAAGATTACATGCGTAAAGCGCCTTTCACGCCGGGAGGACGTCCCGAGGCGCTGGACAGACAGAGTTACGCACCCGCGCTGGGGGTTTCGGGCTCAGACAGGGCAGAGGGGCGGGTGGGTGGGTGGGTGCTTGGCGGGGTGGGGGGGAAGCAGGGAGATCGAAAGCACGGTCGAAGAGGAGGGTCTTGAGATGGGTCTTGAAGATGGCGAGGGAGGGGGACACGAGGCGGAGCGACTGCGGGGTGGAGTTAATAATAATAATAAGCCTTGCATTTGATATAGGGCTATTCACTTCTTCAAAGCGCTTCAAGTAAGTGTAAAGTGAATTGACTGTATATTTTGTGGGCGAAACACGGCAGCCAATCGCGCACAGCAGCGTCCCCTCAAACAGCCGTGGATTGAAAATGAACAATGTATTATTTTGCTTTGGAGGGATCATTATTAGGCGTGTGGAGCAAGGAAACTTGCCCAAGGTTACGCCGTGCCTGGAATTGAATCCAGGTGTCTGGCTTGCAAGACGAGTGCTCTAACCACTGAGCTACAGGATTCCACCACCAGAGTGCCAGAGGGTGGGTGCAGAGAAGCGTCTCAGAGCGCTTAACAGTGGCGGTGCCTCACTCGACGCCATATGTGGGGAGGGGAGGTGGTCGTAAGCACGGTCGAAGAGGAAGGTTTCTAGGCGGGACTTGAAAAAGGGGATAGAGGGGGCAAAGCGGAAGGATTGAGGGAGAGTGTTCCAGAGTTTCGGGGCATAGTGGCTGAAGGCGTGACCTCCGATGGTGGGGCCAGTCGAGTGGAGGTGCCGGGTGGTGGACTGGGGAATGAGGAGGCCGGGAGGTGCCAGAGAGTGAAGAGATTTGAACACGAGAGTGAGGATCTTGAAGCCGATCCGTTCGGTGATGGGGAGCCAGTGGAGCACTGGGCCAGAACTGGTGAGATGTGGGTACGGAGTTTGTGGGTACGTGTCAATAAGTGGGCGGCAGAATTCTGGGCCCATTTTCAAGGTGAATCCAAAGCAGTTGTTCCTAGCGTCGGGCACATTCTGATTTGTTTCGGAAACAGTTTTAAACCACACATTTCCAATTCAAATACATCAGTGCTTATCAATTAAAGTTCTGGTTTTCACAGAATCATAGAAATTACACCATAGAAATTGTAAGATTGAGTGTGTTGACCTTAACAACTTAATGAGTAACAGTAGGTATAGCTTGAAATGATTGAGTTCTCTACAGACACAAGTTATTGAGGTTTGTTGCTTGTGAAGGCATGAGGCTACCAAGTTGGGTTTCAATAGTTATGTGGGGATGGATGAATATGTTGGAATTTTGTATGACTTCCTTTGGGAATCGAGCATTTATGCAGAACATTTTTGGATGACACATTAAACTGAGGAGGTCCCACCTGCCCATTCGGGTGGACTTAAACTTAAACCCACCACCTGCTCCCTCGATCCCATCCCCACCTCTCTTCTCATCTCCCAGCTCCACCTTCTGACCCTCTCCTGTCCAACTTCATCAACTTCTCCTTGTCCACCGGTTCAGTTCCCACCCCGCTAAAAACAGCCATCATCACACCTATCTTGCAAAAACCTTCACTGGACCAATCCGTCCTCTCCAGCTACTGCCCCATCTCTAACCTCCCATTTTTCTCCAAGGTCCTGGAACGAGTCGTCACGTCCCAGCTCCGCTCCTTTCTTTCTCGCCACTCCCTCTTTGAACCCCTCCAATCCAGCTTCCGCGCTGCCCACAGCACGGAAACAGCCCTCATCAAAGTCACTAATGACATTCTGAACATCTGTGATCAGGGCTCCCTCTGCCTCCTTGTCCTCCTCGACCTCTCTGCCGCCTTTGACACTGTCGACCACTCCATCCTCAGACACTGCCTCTCCTCTTTACTTAATCGTCGCGGACCTGCCCTTGCCTGGTTCGATTCCTATCTCTCTCACCGTCTCCACTTTGTTGCCTCTTAACGGTTTCTCCTCCAGCCCCCGCACTGTCACATCTGTCACCCCCAGGGCTCTGTCCTTGTATCCTCTTTAATATCTACATGTTCCCCCTTGGTGACATCATCTGCAGATATGGGGTCAAATTCCATATGTATGGAAGACAGATGACACCCAAGTCTATCTTTCTGCCTCCACCCTCAACTCCAGGACCACTGCTGTCCTGACAAATTGGCTGTCGGACATCAAGTCCTGGTTGAGGGCAAATTTCCTACAGTTGAATGTGAACAAGACTGAGGCCCTCCTGATTGACTCGCGTCAGCGCCTCACCACCTCCGGCTCTGGCAGCATCAGCCTCCGTGGTTGCTCACTTCAACTCACCAGCCAGTCAGGAACCTGGGTGTCTTGTTCGACCCTCAACTGTCATTTCTTCCCCTCATCCAAGCCATGACCCTCTCTGCCTTCCCTCACCTCCATAACATCGCCTGACTCTGCCACTATCTCATCCCTCAGGCCACTGAAACTCTTGTTCATGCCTTCATCACCTCCAGGCTCGACTATGCAAATGCCCTACTTGTCAGCCTTCCCAACTCCTCCCTCCACAGGCTGCAGATAATCCAGAATTCTGCAACCTGTGTTCTCTCCTGCACCAAACTCCGTGACTCCATCTCCTCCACTCTCGCCCGACTCCATTGGCTCCCTATCCTTCAGAGGATCCAGTTCAAGATCCTGGTCCTCACATACAAAGCCCTCCACGGCCTCATCCCACCCTATCTCTGTGACCTCCTAACCCCCTACCAACCCGCCCACTCCCTCCGCTCAGCCGGCTCTGGCCTGCTCCACGGCCCCTGACCCACTCGTCCCACCATTGGCAGGAGAGCCTTCAGCCACTCTGCCCCCAACCTCTGGAATTCCATTCCCCAATCACTCCGCCTCGCCCCCTCCTTAGCCTCCTTCAAGTCTCACCTCAAGACCCTCCTCTTCGACCATGCCACCGGTCACCCCCTTCCCCTCCCTTCACCCTCCCTGACCCCAACTCAGGTCTGAAATGCTGTACACTGTCCAGCGCCTTGGGACGTATTCCCGACGTGAAAGGCGCTATACACATGTAATCTTGTTGTTGTTAAGGATCCCATGGCACTATTCAAAAAGAGAAGGGAGTTGCTCCTGGTGTCCTGGCCAACAATCCCCCAAATTGAAAAATTGGCCGTTCACTCCATGGCTGTTTGTGGGCCATTGCTGTGTGCAAACTGGCCGCCGCGTTTCACCCACAAAATACAAAGTCACACAGAGTATTCCACATCCTCATAACCATCTGTTTAAAACTATTCGCCTAATTGCCCACTTTATTCTTTGGGTAAATACTGTAGATCAATGCCTTCCAGTCCACTCATTGAGCAGCAAAAGAATTTCTCCATGCTTAGTTTATCAAAACCACTGATAATTTTAAGAAACTCTGTCAGGTCTCTCATCCTTCTCTGTGTTCGGGAAAACATCCTTCAGTCTTTTCTTATAACTAAAACCACTCATTTCAGTGGGGATCCCAGTGAATCTCCTCCAAACCCTCAGAATGGCCTTTTGAAATAGTGTTATGGGATCTTTAATGTCCTCCTGTCCTTGGTTTGAAATCTCATTTGAAGGTTGGCATCTCTAACAATGCAAAGCTGCACATTTGCATAGTTAAGTGATATTTCTACTGCAGTTCCACAGCGATGCAGCTATGCCCATGACTACACGTGTTGCAACACTTGTCAATACCATTCAGTCAGGATTTTCACACATGTAAACTATGTTATTCGCTCTAGCAGAAATGTTGTCTTGTGACTAACTAAACATTAAACACGCATGGCAAGCTCGGAGGAGTGCTTGATAACATAACAAAACAATAATAAATTGGTCATTTTCAATCCACGACTGTTTGTGGGACACTGCTGTGCGCAATTGGCTGCCCCGTTTCACCCACAAACATACAGTTAATTCACTTTAAGTTCTATTCTGTGAAGCGCTTTGACATTGAGAAGACGTGAAAAGCACCATATCAAATGCAAGGATTATTGTTATTATTATAAGTTGTTTTTATAAAAAAATGAAATGCTCATAGTACAGGTTTAAAGCTCTGCTATATGTGTTTGCACTGTACAGTGCTATCCTGTCAAGCCTCACCCTAATCCTGATGCCAAGAGTGTCAATAAAACCTCATAAAGTAAAATAATTTCCTTGTGCAGAGATACAGTACTTTGCATCACTGACCACAATATGATTAGATTAACACACTCAGCGACAAGATTTCGATCTAAATCCTAGTTAGGAACGGATATAACATACAAAGCTAACAAACATGTCTTGTAAACTGAGCATCTCTTGTGAGGGGGGGCAAGAAAAAGAGTGTAGACAGACTGTCAGCAGTGGGTTGGCAGAGG